CAACAAGAGTTACAAAAAAGTCTTCTACCCTACTTGATAACATCATAACTAACAATTTTTATAATAGTCCTCTTTACACAGGTATAATTAAAACTGATTTATTGGATCATTTTCCTTCATTCTTAGCTACAAATAACACTTTTAATTAATAATTATATTGCTACAAAATCCACAATATTTCGGCTACATATCAATGAAAACTCCCTTTAATTTTGCAATCAAGTGATGCTAACAATGCTTATAATTTGTTTCTTGGTCAATTTTACAAGCAATATGAAGTAGCGTTTCTAGAAAAAGAAATAATCATAAATACCAAATCACTTCGAAGTCCCAATCTGTCAAAAGGCTTACTAAAATCTTCAAAAATGAAAGAAAAGTTATATATAAAGTATCTTAAAAAAAAATCTTATAAAAATAAAATAGCTTATGAAAATTATAAAAATATATTCGAAAAAACAAAAAAATACTCAAAAAAGCTCTCTTATGCTCACAAAAAACCAACGGAAACACAAAAAAATTATGAAATGTAATTAAGGATTTAATTGGAAAAAATAATTTAAAATAAAAAAAAACACTCTGCCAAAAAATCTTTTAATTAATGGAAAATTAGTTTATGATAAATCTATAAAATCTATTATAGCTGAAGAACTAAACAACTACTTTGTTAACATTGGTCCAAAATTGGCTGATAAAATTCCACCTAACTCCACTCCTTTTGATTCATATTTAAAAATTTATGACAAACTTATGGAAGAAACTAGATTAAAACTTAGCGAGCTAAGAGCTGCATTTAACTCAAAAGTAAAAAAAGTGAAGGTTTTGATAAAATTAGTATTGATATTGTCTAATCAGTATTTGATATTATTGAATCTTCTTTATTTCATGTTTTTGATCTTTCATTTAAGACAGGTATTGTTCCTGACAAACTAAAAATTGCTCGTATAACTGCCAATTTTTAAATCTAAAGATAAGTCAAATATTTTAAATTACAGATCTATATCTATACTACCTTGCTTCTCAAAATTGCTAGAGAATAATGTATAATAGACTATATAATTATCTAACTGAGAATGGCATGTTGTATTGCAAGCAGTTTGCTTTTTTTTTAAAAAAAAATTCCATTGAACATGCAATAGTTGAACTTTCTGATCAAATATTTAACACCTTTGATAATGACTGTTTTACATTAGGAGTTTTCATTGATCTGTCAAAAGCTTTTGATATAAATTGTAAATCACAGTATACTAATAAAAAACTTGAAAACTACGGAGTAAAAAATAAAAACTTTTTTTGGTTCAAAGGGTATCTGAAAAACCGAAAGCAATTTTTATATTATGATCAAAATAACACAATTCCTTATACCATAACTTGCGGGGATCCTCAGTGCTCAATTTTAGGAACACTCTTATTTCTATTGGACTTAAATGACTTATACTTAGCAACAAATCTTTTAGACCTTATTTTGTTTGTTGATGATTTCAATCTTTTTTATTCTTATAGAGATATTAAAACACTTTTTAAAATAGTTAATGAACAGTTATGTAAAGTTAATGAACGGTTTGTAAGTAACAAACTTTCATTAAATGTGAATAAAACAAAATATATACTTTTCCAAAAATTGAATAAATAAGAAAATATTCCTCTAAAATTACCAAATCTTATAACTAATAATACTTATATTAAAAGGGAAACATACGTTAACATTTTAGGAGTAAAACTGGATGAAAATTTACTGTGGTATTCACATATAAATAGTACTGAAACAACACTCTCAAAAAGTATCGCATTGATGTTTAAGGCTAAGCCTTTTCTAAATGTAGCATCCCTGAAAAAATTGTATTTTGCCTTTATTTATTATTTGTTTTACTGTAATATTTTGTGGGCTAGTACTGGCTATACAAAACAAAGAAAATCTACAACAAACAAAAACATGCATGCAGAATAGTGTTTGGAGCCTACAGAAGTACTCCTTGCGATCCACTTTTACGTGCGCTCAGTGCTTTAAATGTGTATAAACTCAATTTACACCAAGTTTTATTGTTTATGTTTAGAATAAAAATGGGATCTTCAACCAAAATTTTTCAAACTCATTTTAATTAAATTCAACAAAATTTTCAGATAACAACGTTTTTCTTTTCAAATATAATTTAAAATTAACCTACTATTCAATTAAATACTGCAGACCTTATCTATGGAAAAAACTCCAAGAGATTGTCAACAAAAACAAGACTACATTAGAACAATTTAAAAGTGAATCAAAAAGATCATTACTGTTCAGGCAATTTATCCGACTTGTTTTTTTTGAAGTGTTTCTGAAACTGAGTTTTCTTTTTTTTTGAAGTGTTTTTGAAGTGTTTGAAGTTTTTTTTTTTGAATGTTTCTTTTGAAGTAAGCTTAATCAAATAAAAACAAGTTTATTTATATCAATGAAATTTAAGTGATGTTATTAAAAAATCATCTTTTAATTATGTTAAATTATGAAATTTTATATTGTAATCTTTTTATTCGAAAATTTTTGTTAAAGAGATTCTTAAACATTTTAGCGGTTGTAAGCATTTTAACACTTTTTAACTATTTGGTATTTTGAATTTCTTTATTTTCTTAGTTATTTTCTGTTTTAATTCTGATTTTTAATTCATTTTTTTAAAACTCATTTAGTCTGGGTGTGCAAAAGTTGTCTATTCGTTTCTTAAATATTCTAAAGAAAATTTCAATGCTCTAGGAAACTCAAAGGTTAGAGATGCCCCAAGACCTTTGAAAATTTAATGGGTCCCTAATATTATTTAAAAAAGTTACAAAAGTATGTCGTTTCTTAAATGAAACGAAACTAAATAAAAATTTCAAAAATAAAAAAAATCATTTTATAAAAAAATAATTACTTTAAATTTTACTGCATTAAAAATGAGATATTGTTACTTAAATTAAAAATGTGTATTTTTGAAAGTTTTTTTCCCAATAATTTTTTTTAATTTGTTTTTTATAAAATGATTATTATTTATAAAATTTTTATATAATTTTCTACATTTGAAATCCAATATTGGATTTCATATATATTTCACTTTTGAAAAAACAATAATTTTACAAAGGTCTTAGGTCATCTCAAAATAACTTCCTAGAGCATTAATATTTTTCAAGAGTATTTCTGAAATGAATGAACAACTTTTGCACACCCAGGCTAAATGAATTCTCCAAAAAATTAAAGTTCACCGCACTCTTATAGAGAACAAGCTACTGCACTAGCTGAGGCAGTTTACAAAGTATTCTGACAAATTTTTTGGAGAAAAATATCCGAAATGTTTAATTCATTTTTAAAGGAACAATAACAATCAATAAACAAAATTAATCAAAATATAAACTATTTTTAATACTTTAATGTTGGAGGTTTGAATAGTTTCATATAACTTCTTGTCATAACTAAATCTTGAAAAAAAAAAAAAAAAAAAGATTCTAACTAAGGTTTCCAGTAGAGTTTGTCTGCCGATAAAAAGTAAAAATAAATTTAAAAAAAAAATTGAAGCGGTAGAGGAAGGGGGAGGCGGAGAATCACTTTAGTAAGTACGGTGAGTAATTTTTACTCCCCAGTAAAAACCGCTTATTAAATTTTTACTCCCCAGTAAAAATCTTATATTAAATTTTTTTTTTTTTTTTTTTTTTTGTTCTTTATTACAATATTTATGATACAGATACAAATAATATAAAAAAGAAAAAAAGAAAAGGTAACAAGTCAAGATATCGTTAAGAATAATATAATAATATAAAGAACGTTTTTTTTTTTTTTTTTTTTTAATTATTATTATTATTATTTTTTTCAATGTTTTCATTCTTTGTATTTATTTATTTTTGTTCAGTTTCTTTTTATTACAAAATTAAATTTATTAATAAAAGTATATAAAGTTCGTAATATAATATTATAAATAAACATACAATATTACAATAGAAGAGTTCTAAAACTTAAAAACTAAAACATGTTAAATAATTCACTAAAATAAAACATGTTAAATAATTGCTTGTTGATAAAAAAATAAATAAATAAAAAAGAATGTACATTAAATATATTCATATACTAATATAGACAAATGATTTTCAAAAATTTAAAAGTAGATTTATATATTTTCAGTTGAAAAAATGAGTTTTTTAAGATTTTGTTTAAAAGAATCAAAATTACATTCTTGAGAAAAATCTTTAGAAGTATTTAGAACTATACTATTCCATAAAAATGGTCCGCGAAATGAAATAAAAAATTTTCCAAAATTAGTTTGAGAAAATGGTTGTCGAATTAAGTTATCGTTCCTTAGAATATATTTATTTCTATCTCTTTGTAAATACAAGTTACGAAAAGAAACGGGTGATAGGTTGGTCTTGCAATAAAAATTTTTACTCCCACTATGAGATTTTTACTCCCATAATATTACGCGGCAAAATGTGTTTTGCGATTGTATTTTGAATATTTATTTTTAATGTTTGAAAGACAGTTGTTTTTTAAATAGCAATAAAAAAACGATTCCGTTTAATATGAACATTATTTTAAAATATTGTAGTGTTTAAATGAAAAAACAAGAGCCGATCCAGATCATGTAGTAAGGGGTCATCAATAGAAGACGTCGTCCAAATAGGGTTGGAGGAGGGGTTTGAGGATGAGAGAAGGGAGGTGGGGAGGTTTTTAGAAAAGGACTTCACTTTTTAGATTTTTTTAAATGTGTTTTTATGAAGGTAATGTTAAAGAAAATTTTCAAATTTATTTTTGAAAGGTGTAGCAGCAGATTCAAACACCATTGCGAAATGAAATAAATTTTTTTGTGTTTGAAAATAGAGGAGGGGCAATTTTCAGATAACGATTTGTAAGACAATATGTAATGTAAAACAATTTTAAATTTGCACCACGTAATTTTATTAAAATCTTTTTTTTATTTAGACAGCCTAACTATATTACTTCCGTTTTCAAACAAATTGCTGTTTTTAATGTATAAACTTACATAGTACAAGAAAAGAAAATACAATAATTGAAATTAAACAGCATTATTTAAAACTCGTAAAAGAAATACATATGTATATGGACTAGATTTTCAACTATTAATCACAACATCAAAGTGGAACCCAGTTGAATTGTCTAAAAATATAGAATAGTCACTTAACTTATTAAGCCGAAAACTGCATGGGTAGATCATCCATTTTGTTTTCTCTCCATATTTGCTGTATACTTGAATATCCACTTCCATAAATGAAGCACATCCAATTATCTCCGCATCAGTTGCCCATGTCGCATCTTCAAGCATCCTAGTTTTACAAATATGCGTTTGAATTGGCATACTCAAATATCCAGTCATTTCATCATGTATTTGGTTACACATATGGTTAACAACCTTGTCTCTAATTTGCTTATGCTCATCCTCACTTCCTGTTATGATAAAAGAAACTGCTCTAAAAAAGCAGTTTCCATCTCCTTTAATTTTATGGAGTCCCTGAGGACAAAGAGTTAGGTTTATGTTTCCTACGGCGACATTGTGTTTCCAAACAATTTCAAACTTTTCTGCAATTAATTTTCTCATATCAAAAGTTGCACATTTTGCTATTTCTTTGTCTAAAACACTTACACAGCTTTCATGTTGAGTATTTATATATGACTTGCTTGATTCAACGTCTTTGATAACTGGTTCAATTTTGATATCATTATCATTTGATAATTTGTTTACTTCTTCTATTTGAATGCTTCCATTACTAAGTGTTTTTTCTTTGTACAAGGACAAACTTGTTAGATTGTACTTTTTTTTCAATATTACATTTTATTAATTTTTAAACTACAGTTATTAGTACTTGAAATATTAGTTACCGTGTATGGTCCTATCCGTGGCTTAACAAGCTTTCCACCTTTTCTGTCATCACGTTTATGATTTCGCAATAAAACTTTTGTTCCTATAGCAATACTATTCTTTGGGTTAACTCTTTCGTCATAGTCGCGTTTTTGCCTTACTTGTGACTTTTGGATGTTTTCGTAAGCTTCATCGAAAATACATTTCTTCATTTCATTCATTTTATTGAATGTTTCCAAAATTGTTTTTTTGTTTTGGGAATCGTCTTCAATCAGAGTAGCATTATCATTATAGTCAATTAGGTTCTGATCTATATCAATCGGCAGAAAAGGTTCTCTTTGATAAAGTAATTCAAAGGGTGAAAATCCAGTTGATTTGTGTTTTCTAATTCGCATTGAAAATAAAACAGCGTCAATAATAAATGGCCATTCAAGAGCAGAATCTTCTAGCACCTTTACCAATGTTCGTTTTATTGACTGATTTTGACGTTCTACTAAACCGTTTGCTTGTGGATGGTATGCACTCGTCATGCGTTGGCGAGTCCCAGTTTTTCTGTGAAGTTCATTTGAAAGCTAATTTACAAATTCACGGCCTTGATCGTTAATCTGTATTTCAAAACACCCGTGTCTACATATTTGTTTATACAGGAATATTGCAACAGATTTTGCTGTTTTATCAAAAAGAGGTTCAGCTTCTACCCATTTGCTGAAATAATCAACTAGTACTATCAGATATTTATATCCATTTACTTCTGGGAGTTGAGTCAAATCAATCCCAACCTGTTTCATGTTACCTTTTGGAATCGATATGCTTTGTAACAATGGTTTAACTTGAAGTTTCTTGTTTTTTGCTTTTTGACAATTATCACATTCTGAAACATAGGCTGTAATGTCTTTTATCATACCAAACCAAAAAAATCTCTTTTTAATATGCTCTGTTGTTGAATTGATGCCTATGTGGCCAGATAATGCGTTAGCCTCATTAGAAATATCAAAATATCAGAACAGACTTAATTATATGTTGCTCTTCTTTGCACCAAATAACTTTTCTCTAAAAAAAAATTAAAGATGCTGTTATAAAATATATATATATATATATTTATTAAAAGAGTGCAAAGTGGATATTTTTACAATTACTGTGTTTTTCCTTATCACGGCAGTATTATACTAGTAAAGTACAAGATTTATTATTTAATTATGTAAAACATGATATTATTATATATTACGTATTATTATTACATGATACATTATTAAAACATGATATTATTATGTATTACGTTATTATGTAAAACGTGATACTTAAACACATACATAAAAATGTATGTATTTATCGCAAACCACGCTAGTATAAAAAAACTCTAATTATATTTTTACCTTAACGCCAGATTTACCCAGATGATACAGCTCATTATCTTCAATTACAAATGGTTTTGTTTTTCTTCGAAAGTTCGACTTATCGCCTTTACTAATAGCTGTCTTTGGATATATGCATCTTTTTAAAAAATTATAAACGTCGGCAAATTCAGTATGCATAGTTAAATTTTTAGAATTATGAAAGCCACTGCATAAAAAGATTCGTTTCTTATTGCTTTTCAAGAAACCGCAGTAATTAAAACGTTGAAAACTATTCTCAAAATACAACGTGATTTTGTTACAAAAATACATTTTGCCGCATAATATTTTTATGGGAGTAAAAATCTCATAATGGGAGTAAAAATTTATTATAAGATTTTTACTGGGGAGTAAAAATTTGATAAGCAGTTTTTACTGGGGAGTAAAAATTTAATATGAGATTTTTACTGGGGAGTAAAAAAATCGCGGGAGTAATAATCTCATACTACAACGGGTTGATTAAAGAAAAATATCTAAAAATTAAATAACATCATCCTCCTCTCTTTCTGAGAGCACCTGAGAGTAAATAACAAACATTACATATATAAACTACTTTCAACATCTGCAGACGGTAATGAGGCATAGTTGAGATATTCTTTAACATATAGAACACAAAGTTGTTTTTAATATCTCGTTTTAAGTTGTTTAATTGTACATGCTTTTTCTTCGTTTATATTTTAAATTGCTTATAGAGCATCATTAATAGATTTAATTTGTGCATACTTTTTATGGTACTTTTTAAGAAATCGGTTATTAGTTTAAACAATCAAGATATTTCCGTAGCCTATATGGTCTGCAAGATAAAAATTTAGATTGTAGGAAAACACCATCTTACTGTGGACTGTAAGCAATCTTTTAAATTTTATTTAAAAAGCAATATGCTTAATCAAGATTTCATGTTTTAATTTAATATTATTTAATTGCGGAATATTATAGAATCTTAATATTAGCTTTAATTTCCAAGCCTGTGAAATCTCAAGTTCTTGAGTACTTGCTCGGCGCAGGATTTATTTTACCTATTGTAAAGAATATTAAACAATAGAATATTAAACAATAGAATATTCCTCAAGGAGAAGAAAAACAGCTACAACTACCAGTTGTTTTTTTTTTAACTTTTACTAAGTGGAAAACATACCGTTGAGTGAAAAAAAACATGTTAATTAAAAAGTGTACGAATTTAGACACTGTAAAAATTCTAGCTCTTTTGGTCCATAATCAATCACGTTCGAAATAAAGATATTTTTAAATTCCCAGAATCATACAATCATTCACAAAATAAAATAAATTTTAAATAATTTTTTTTAAACATCTACACTACAAATCTAGAAGAAAGTCATAAAACAATATTCCGATTTAAATCTAAAATAATATAGAAATATCCTGTCATCAAATTTGTACTATAAATTAAATACTATTGTCAGTTTGCTGCAGAACAATTTAAACCTGATTTTTAAATTCTTAACTCAAATTTCCTCGATTATCTAGCATAAAAAAATTGCCTGACTTATCAATGATCCTCTAAACATACTATTGTTGCATTAAAAAACAAAGAAAAAAACTCATAAATTTAAATGGTCTCAAAATATTTGAACAGGTATTTTACTAAATATAATCAATCATTTCATGTGTGTAACTAGTACTTTTTTTATTATAAAACTTGAAACGAAAACTTTTTTATAAACACTTTATGGGCAGCTCCACGTATAAGTAAGTTATTTCGATAAAAATAGATTTAAACAAAAAAGAGGTCATCATTGGGTTGCCATGTTTAAAAATTTTTAATTTGATATTTTTTTGTTTTTAATTTTAAATCAAAGTCCTGCGTCATACTTTCTATGTAGAAATTGTCCCCGTAAGTGACGATAACAAACTTGATTTAAGATAAATAAATAGCTAAATCAATCTTATGAATAGTTTTACGCAGAATAACTAATTTATTAAACCAGTTTTTGTAGATTAAATATTTGGCTTAAAATATTCAACTGAAAACAACAGATTTAATGCAATGTTTTTTGTGTCTCGTAAGTAACACAACATATAATCAACTATAATTCCTAAACTTTTAATTGAACCAAATTTCATTATACAGGAAAACAAATAAATGATTTTGGGATGATTCATAAATATATAAACATCTAATCTGTTAAAAAAATATATATATCTAAAAAATGTGATATTATAAAAACCAAAATGTACCGTGAGTTACGGTGGAATTGCCCATATGTATTACAAATTTTTACTAAAACATGCTTTCTTGAATTACATTTTCAGGTAACTTGGACTAAGATTAAAAAAAAAAATTTTTAACCACTGCGCCACGATAACAAATCACACATAAAAAAAGGCTCCATGAATTTTCGGTTTTTGTGCTATATATTGTTCCTAGGTAAAATTAAAACATCGTAAATATAAAACTAAAGCCGAAATAAAATAATCTTGCACTATTACAAAGTGTCGGGGAAACTAGATAAAAGTTCGAAACAATTACCCAGAAAATTCACAAACATTCAAAAAGCATTAAAAAATGTCTAGAATTTTAATGAGATTACTTGAAATAACTCGTAAAACATTTATGTATAATCGATAAATAAAACTTGTCAAATAACATGTTGGGAAAAACAATGAGCCATTCGCATTATAACTCATATTTTTTGAAAAAATTACCGTATAATAATAATAATTTAAAAATAAACACTAAAGAAAAAAGGTTCTTAAAAAATTCCAAAAAATATATTATATATATAGACATTGAATAAAAATAATAATCATATAATAAACTAAAGACGACAAATAATCGACTGAAAACTATATAATTTAGTACCAAGTACGTTAAAAATGTATATGTATACAATATATATATATATATATATATATATATATATATATATATATATATATATATATATATATATATATATATATATATATATATACACACACACACATATATATATACATATATATATATTCTTTTTTTCAGTTTAACGTAGTAAATAACAAAAACGTATAAGATTTGAAACATTTTATCGTAGAAGAATTTAAGTTAATTCCTATATAAATAACGAAAAAAAATTTACATAACACGAAACAATTACATTCATAAAAATGTCTCACAAATTCTGATTTGGTATATACATACATAAGATGCGTGTGTGAAAATTACGCCACACCATTCGATATTTTTAGTAGCGGCAACTTATGCATTCAAAGCAATCTGCATTTCTTTTGAATAGTGGATTATGGAGTAATACTACATAAATCCAGTAACCCCGAGGATTTAGAAGTATTAATAGCCGAGGGTGTCCGTTTAACTATTTTAGAAGTATTTTAAATTTAAGTATGATAACCATTATCAAATACCCTAGGGATCCAACCCGCCCAACCGTTTTGTCAAAAAAACTTTGCAAGGTCCCATCCCCCCGACCCGAAGCGTAAGAGTTAGCATAAAGACCAACAGAATTTCTTTTAGATCTTGTGTATCACTTGATTGACTACACATGCTTTCTCACCATCTGAAATATAATATACTTTTATATTTTATGCAGTACTACAATATGCAGTACTACAAGTATGCAATACTGTTACTATAGATACACATAGTTACGCTAAATGTATTAAGCATCTGCATTCGAAAGTTTGATATTTAACTATTTGTTAAAAACCAACCAAAATAATTTTTAAAACAACTTTTTTAATAAAAACTGGTTGTTATTAACTCGATCGATTGAAACATCGTATTAAAATTTTAAATAAAAATCGACTATGCACAATTCTCTTAACAGAAATCTGATGCTACTATTTGTAAGAATGCAGACCCCTAACATTTATTCACATAAACACACATAAAGCAATACATAAAAATAATGATTATATATAAAATAAAAAATTAAAAGTCATTATATAAATTCAGAAAACACATAAAAACTTTTAAATATGCAAACAATGTTGCATGTTTAAAACGTTGATATGAGTAACAAAAGAAACATACATATTGAGGATTAAATTTTGTATTGATGTGATAGTCTTTCTTTTAATGGTGGGGGAAACTGATCAGAAAAACGCATCCAGTTGTCTTCACCAACCTGATTTTTAAATCCAATCAAAATCTGAAACAAAATGAAAAAACGAAAGAATTATTTTGTTTTTAGACAACTAAAAACAAAACAAAAAAAAACAACATCAAAAATGATTAGGCGACACTTACACTGTTAAACATTTCTTTAAGGTCTGCAGCAGGATTTACCCAAGATGCAACTGCATCACAAAAAAATATGAAATCCTAAATTAATTAATTGATATATATATATATATATATATATATATATATATATATATATATATATATATATATATATATATATATATATAAATATAAAATTGACATTTAATATTTTAAAATGCATGAAAACAAATAAAAACCTGAACAACACCACCAGGATTTTGCCCAATCAAAGAACAGATTCCTCGAAAGGCTGAGTCTTTTTCATCGTTGTCTCGAATGTTTCGCAAAGATGTGCACCTTAAAAAATCAAAAACTAGGAATTAAAAAAACAATAAAAAACAAACAAACAGTAATGCAAAAATGTATGATAAAAAATATTTCAATATGATTTATTTAAAATGATAGAGATGACGAAACATTTAGATAATAGAATTATTTTTAACACACACACAAAAAAAAGAAAATGCAGAAAATGAATTCAATGCATCTTCTGCAAATTGCCTGTTCTTTTGTTATAAGTTTTGACTCAACATTCAAAAAAAAAAAAAAAAAAAAAAAAAAAAAAAAAAAAAAAAAAAAAAAAAAAAAAAAGTTTTAGACAGTTTTAGACAGTTTTATACCAACAACTTAAACATTTAAAAAAAACTTCATAAGTTATATGCCAAAAAGAAAGCACTACAAAAAGTATAACATTTTAAAAAGTGCGGGAACAAAACAACAAATAACAAACCATGGTCGTATGAATTGAGCCAATTGAGGGGCTACCTCACTTGGACATACAAGCCCCAACCTTCCGAGTGTGATGGCTGTACAGAACAACAAAAAACATAAAAAAAAACATACAATTATAAATATTATAATAGATATTATATTTAATATTACATATTAAAAAAAATATAAAGTATTAATAAAATTTAAATTTTAAAGCAGTTAAAAAAAAAGATTTTGAAAAACCTGCATTTTTTAGAGGTTCATGCCTGACAACGGATGGGGTTCAACAACATATTCCCTTATTCTCCTAAAATATATCATGCAACAAAGCATGATAAATTTTAGCAAAAAAAAACTTTTCCTCTCTATGGTCAAATCACTACAGTTAAAAAGACTATAGGAAACTGTACATTTAAATTAAAAGAAATGATGAATCTTATTGTTAAAGCTACCAATCAGGGTTCATAGCCAAATATTTACATAAAATTCCCTGACCTTTCCTAACCATTTTCAACAATGGTTTTTTCAAAATGTTTAAAATTACTATCTACTGTAACGGAATTGCTGAAATTGTACATGCTTTGAACAACAAAACCTATAAAACTTAGTTAAGTCGGAGATAGCATAGATCTAATTATTATGGATGACTATAAATAAACACTAAAAAAAACATAAGTTTTTTGAAAAAAAAAATCGCTTAATTGTAAAACAAGTAACTTCTTAATCAGAATTTCCTGACTATCTAAATAAAAAAAATTTCCTGACTTTTCCAGATTTTCCATAACTTTAGCCAAAATGAACTAATTTTCCAAGTTTTCCAGAGTACAAACCCTGCCAAAATGTTACAGCAAAATTGGAAATAATGAAAGAATATTTAAGAAATCTGAGAACTTTTGAGGTTTTCAATAATTAAGAAATTGATAAAAGAGAATTTTTGAAGTAGATGGCAATCCAATGAGAAAGATATCAAAGTAAAAAGTTCAGGGTGATTGGGTAATGTCTAGTTTATCAATAACGATAATGGTAAATCATATCATATGCAGTTAATCAACTATATCTAAGTTTAATGTACAATTAGTGAAATAATATTTTGCTGCAGTCAAATAAAAATCCACCAAAGCGAGATAGCTGAAAGGGTCAAACCCACCAAAAATAAGTGATTATTAATAAAACATTGGAAATAAAAAGACAAGTTTCACAGATGTTAATAGCTACATCAAAATTTAAGAACTTATACAATTATTGCCTCAACATAGATTACAAAATAATTCATACAAAACTTGCATATTAGGAACTGTAATCCATAAGTTCATAGACAAAAGAAAAACACCTTTAATTATTTTGAATTGAACTGTCTATGTACTGACTGACCAGGTTGAGCATTATAAGTTAAACTTGTTGAGATTCTACAAGTACCACACATTTTATGAATAGTGTATACTTGAAAAAAAATGAAAAAATGCAAATGAAAAAATACATTTGTATTTTTTCATATATACATTTGTACAAAATTACAGAAGTGTATTGTTTAAAAGTAGGTTTATTATTTACAGAAAAAATCTGACTTTATATATACTTTAAATCAATAATTTTCATGTCAGTCAACTTAATATGTCAAACTAAAAATATTAAAACTTATAATAAAATAAATTTTTCTGAAAGTTTTTTTCCCCAGCAAATTATCCAATTAGCTCACTCTAAATAATTTTAAAAATTAATCAAACAAAAAAGAAAACCAACGGTCCTTGCTTTTGACATAATAAGTTAAAAAAACATACCAGTATTTTCAAGCAGTGTTTTTGGAGTTTTTTGACGATTAATGATAACGATCAACTGTGATAAAACTACAGGAACAAATTCACTCATTTCTGCACCTGTAAGCAAATTGTACTTATATTACATTTTTCTTACTTTTAACTATGTTATTTTGAGTGAAAATTTAACAAGCAAACCTAGCATTATTGCTATTTCGCCTATAGCCCATGTTGCATTGTTACAAACAGATATGCATTCAGGATTTAGATTCTGTCCAAGTATTGGAATAATCTCTCGTATAGCTAACTTTACATGCTGAAAACATGCTTTAGTAAGGTCACCAAGTAAAGCAAAAGAACTTTGTCGTACTTCAAGACCAGGATCCTAATAAAGAACAAATGTTAGTTTTTAAATTATACATTCAATAAATTCATTAATTCTATTAATAATACATATCAATAATTATTATTATCTTTTTCAATAACTAGCATATCTTAGATATTAGATAGTAATTTATTTATATAATTATTCCTAGATAGTAATTAATTTATAAAATCATAGATAGATAATAATTTATTTATATAACTACACATAGATAGTAATTTATTTATATAATTAAACATTTATTATATTATTGTTAATTATTGAATATAATGTATGAGTAGTACATTTTTGATATGTATTATTAATTCATACATTAATAATAAATATAAAAAATTTGTAAAATGGGTGTTAAATATATGTAATTTGTTTATATAATTTGTAGTTTAGTTTTTTTTTTAAAAAATTGTTACTTTTACTTAAAAAATGTAGAGGAGGATACTTCAGTTGATACAGAAAGTTTTTTTTTTTTTTTTTAATTTTAATTCACCTCCTCAAGGCCGAGAAGGCCACTACAGACGAGGAGGCTACTTATTCGTGGCTATAACCCTCTCTCAACTCTATAACTCCGAAACACGAACCTTGACGAACAAGGCCGCTGCGCGGAGAAACGAGTTGAGCGCGGTACTACCAGGGACGTGGTGGGGATTGAACTCGGAACCACTCGTTTATGAAGCGAGCGCTCTACCGCTACACCACTACCGCAATAAAAAATATTTATTTATTCTATTTACATATATACTTTTCATTTTCTGTTATCCAATTGTTAATACCATATTTCTAAAACACAAGTTTTGAAAAAAAAACAAAAAAACACTATTGCTCAGAGAAACAAAGTGAGCGGCATAATACAAGTTGTACTATTAGTTAAGTTCTAAGTATAACCAGTTGTACTACCTGTACTGGTCTTCAGTGAGATCTCCATAAATGATGACCAGTTGTACTACCTGTGATGGTCTTCAGTGAGATCTATGATCTCACTAAAGACTTTTTGTCTTTAGTGAGAATGTAAAGCTTTCTATGCAAACTTAATAATTTTATTCAAAATAACTTTTTAAAGTGTTTTTGAGATAAAATAGATTCAAAAGTTTGTTTTTTTAAATGTATATTGAAAAATGTTTAATCACATTTTTGAATTTAAAAAAAAAAAAAAAATGCTTAAAAATGCTATAAAAAAATGCTTAAAAATATTTTGCTATTAAAGGAATTCCAAACCACCGAAACATGTTGTATTCAAATTAAAGAGAATGAAGCAAAAATATATTTACAAAATGCAAATAAATAGATTTTTAACAAATTACAGAAAATATTACGAGCCGAAACTTTTTTTTTACTTTAGGATAGTTCTGTGTTCTCAAGAAAAGCTTTTCTACATTGTTGTTGTAAGATTGGTTTGGGTTCAAGAGACAATCTGGTCAGCTGCAGAAAAGACTATTTCTGAGAAACCTGATGAGCCTGGAATAGAATACATTTTTCTGACAATGAATGTTAGCTTTGGATATTGTGGTGCCATACTCTTCTACTACTGTAAATCATCAGTTTCTTTTGCTACCAATGAAGAAAAAATATATTTTTCCAATTATGCTTGCATGTCAAAAGTGCCTTTGCTCAGCAGATGCATCTACATCATGTTTAATTAAGATGCTTTGATGCATGAATTTATGCTCCCAAGGCCACGGAGGCCACTTAAGTCATCTTAGATAGTCAAGGAGACTAGGGTTTTTCTGTTTTAATTCATTAATTTTGCTTATTATGTCATGCAGTTGTTTTAAAACATGATAAAAATGGCATCATCAAGTTATTATTAGCGTGGTAAATATAACGCATGAACATATTTTAAAATTATATAAGTTCATTCAAATGAAAGAACATGTTCATTGCATTAAGTTCATTCAAATGAAAGAACATGTTCATTGCATTAAGTTCATTCAAATGAAAGAACATGTTCATTGCATTAAGTTCATTCAAATGAAAGAACATGTTCATTGCATTAAGTTCATTCAAATGAAAGAACATGTTCATTGCATTAAGTTCATTCAAATAAAAGAACATGTTAATTGCATTAAGTAACCCTGTTAATGTTTCTTAAAAATAGGAGAACATTTACCTGCATACATTGAAATAACAATGCCATAATATTACTGCGTGCTACGAAGCGCTCTATTTGATCCTCTAATCCTTCAGCTAAACCACTTAATAAATCTAGTGCAACAACCATAAAGTCCTTATCAGGCATTTCAAACTGACCTGGGTTCATTTGAGCAGCCTATACAATACAAAATAAAAATGAATAAAGTTAATGATTATATATCTATAGAGTAATTGTAAAATTTATAAATCTATAGAGTAATTGTAAAATGAAAACAATTTATGTCAAAAAAAAAAAAAAAAAAAAAACTTAATTATACATATATTGAGAAAACAGAAATAAATTTTAGACTTATTTTATGTTAATAACAAACACTATCCTGTCAAGTATTATTATTTTCATTTTAAAAATGCCAAATCAAAAGTACATAAAAAATACAAAGTATGCATTTTGAACCCTTCTTGTAAAGTTATTAAACTTTGTAAAGTTATTAAAAATAGCATAATACAAAATCAAATCAAAAAAGTGTTGTCTAATATAGTTTTTATTTTATAACAAACTAATAACCTAATATCATATGTATCAATTATTTAATTAACAAAAAAAAAATTTAAGTTAATGATATATAAACAGACTTTATATTAAAACAATACAAAGATGCAACAAAAATTAATGTCTGGTTTAAAGTTCATGCTTTTAGATAACTAAATACAGTAAAAATATGCAACAATGATGTGTAAAACAGTTTTGAACGTGAACAATGCCATAATGTATGTGTATATATCTATATCTATATCAATAAATGTGTGTGTGTTTTAAATATAGGATTGTCAAAAGATTACCAGAATCGCTATTCTGTTTCAAATAAATTTGAAGATATCGGATTATGAGTTTGAATAAAGAATCTATATCAATTCTTTTGAGATGTCGTGGTAGAACGAAATATTTTCCATTTTTAAGGATGCCTACCTCATCATGTAAAAACCTAAGTAAAGAAAGATTTGTGATAATATCAGAATTTAAGAGCAAACTGTAGCCATCGGATAATTTCCTAAATTTCTTTCTGTGTATTTAAAAAGTTTTTCTTTTTTTTCTATGATGCTAATTAAAAACAGAATAACAATAGAAGATAAATGAACTTTAAAACCAATTAAAAAAAACCTCTTTAGAAAACATCTTCTTGTTGCATTTTATTTTGCATTTTGAAATAATCTCTTTTTTAAAGTTAAACAAGAATCCAATTAAGGAAAATCAAGGAAAATTAAAACAAACTTTTATTTTTTTTAATTTATTAAATTACTGCAATTATTTAAAAAATGTATAAATGTACCCTACTTATTATTAGGGGTAATTTTTTTTAAGTCACTTTATTTGTGACTTGAGAAAAATTACACCTAATAATAAGTAGGGTAATACCTAATAAAAATATATTTGTGTGCCACACTATTTATTAAATTTCCAAAGTTTTAATTAGCATGTAGTATGTAAATATTCTATTAAGAATTATTAATATTAATAATATTAATATGTTACTAAGACATTATATAATATTATAATATAATAAATATTAATATATTATATAACATATATATATTATATTATAATATATATATATATATATATATATATATATATATATATATATATATATATATATATATATATATATATATATATCATTATATATATATAGTATATTATATATAATATATATTATATATATCATTATATAATATTATAATATAATAAATATTAATAAACAAAGACATAAAATATTAATATATTACTAAGACAACTATTTTTAAATTTATTAAACCCATTTAACTTTTAACCTTTTATTATTTCTTTTTGAACTTTTATAAGGCTTGTAAGGTTTTTAAATACTCTTTATGAGGCTTGTAAGGTTTTTAAATACTGTATTACAAGGATTTTGGTTACTATATAATACAATATTACAATACTTACATAACATTGAGCTAGAGTTTGTTCAACTAATGATACACATCTGTTATAAACAGGTTCAGCATAAGGAAGAAACCCTGATTGAAGAGCAGTAGCCACAGATGACAGACATTCAAGTAATGGAAACAAATCTTTATCTTCATCCTTAAGTTGATTCCATTTAGCTATTAGTGGAGGCATTAGCATATTGATATACTCAGCTTTGTTTAAGTGAGGACCAACAGAATCAGCAAGAGTGCCTATCGCATCATACAATATAAGAAGGTTTTTGTGCTAAAAAGATTGTATTTGAATTAAAAATAAATTGAAATAAAAATAATAAAACATAAAATAAAAAAATGAAATTATTTATTGACTTACTTGATACTTTCCAAATGCAAACACTAATGTCTCTAATATAAACCCTAAATACGGAACAAGTTCTGTGCAAGCTTCTTCTTCCAAAGTAGCAAAAGCACTAAAATTAATGAAATTTAATAAGATAAACATGTAAAAATAGATAATAAGAACAAAATAAAAATTAAGTAATCAAGTGAAAATTTAAATGTCATTTAAATAAAACCAATTTTAAAAAATGAAACGATTTACAAACCAATAATTTGATTTTAAGATGATTGAGTATAAAAAAAATACCTGCAAGCAGCTTCTTGAACTCGCTTATTTTTGTCAAGAATTCTTTTTAAAAGTTCAGTCATTAGTTTTTGCAAATACATTTGATGAGGTTGACTAACAATCCAATGTGAATAACGACTTAAGGTCCAACAGGTTATAGAACGCACTAAGGCCTGTATACATTCAAAAAAGAAAAGAAACTATCTGTTAAATATTTCTCACAATAAACAATGTTTTCATTTAAACAGTTTAACAACTCTGATCAAATTTAAAAAGGTTAATATTTCTATATATTTCTTTTCAAATTATTTTTACTTTTTAATTATTTAAAATCATTTAATTTATTAAAAATCAACTAAAAAAGTGTTCTCCCTAATATTTAAAATTTACTCCCAACTATCTTATAATATTTAAAATTTACTCCCAACTATCTTATAATATTTAAAATTTACTCCCAAATATCTTATAATATTTAAAATAATCCAACAATATGAAACCTAACACTTCTATTAAATGCTTTAGCTTTTCTAGTTGCATAGATTTAATAAAAGTCATTGTTTTGAAACCAAAAGTGTCAAGTTTTGAGACAAAACAGGCTTCACTTAACAGTTAAACATTCTTATGTATCAAATCAAAGCCCACAATATTTTAAATTTTGATTTCCATAGTAAATCAATTAAAAGTTATTTTTACAGAGTTAACTATTCCATAGTATATTGATTAAACAATAAATCAATTTATAGTAAATTAATTACAAGTAAAAAATTTTTTGAAAAGAACAGTCTACTGAAATTACATATTTATGATTGATTTATTTTATTATTTGCACAGCTTCTAGTACTTATAATTAAAAATTAAAAAAATTTTAAAACAAAAACAACCTTTTTGTCTCCAAGAGAAGTGATAAGAAAAGGAACTAATTCAGGCAGATGTGGATTAATACCAGCAACACAGCCTTAAAAAATTTCATCCTTTATTATGATATATTAAGAACAATTTGTTCAATATAAAGTTTTTTTTTTTTCTTTTGAAAAGCTAAAATACCTTCTGCAATTGCTCCGAGTACAAGTATGCCTGACTCCTTTGTTACCCAGTCAGGATGAAAAAGTATGTCTTTAAGAATGGGAAGTAAAACAGGAAGCAGATCATCTTTAAATACTGTTGCAAGTACATCAAGTGCAGCTGCTGAACACTTTCCTAAAAAGTCAATTAATACAAATATAGAATATATAACATATATTATACAATAATATATGTTAATTTAATAATATGTTAATTTTTATCTTTTACAAAGTTTGCTATTATTTTCTAGGTTGAACAGTAAAGTTTTTTGATCAAGGTAAAAAATGCAATTGTTTATGATTAGGAGATTTAGGAGTATATCCCCTTCCCCCACAAAAAAAACTTTAGCTTACTTAAACTGACTTTTGCTACTTAAACTGACTTAAGTCCACTAGAAACAACTAAGACACTAGAAATATAATTAATAGAAATATAATTAAGACACTAGAAACAACTGTGGAATAGCACTGAGTAATAAATAGTAAAGAACGTTTTTTTGTAAATGAAACTTTCAATTGATTTTTTGCTGTTGTTTGTCATTAAAACATGTATAATAAAAAGTTCAATGCTTTGAGTGCTAGAGTTTTAAAAGCAGATTAAAATAAAGCTTACTTAAGTTCCAATCAGACAAAGAATCGTCATCCAGCTCACCATCTTCTTCACTATCTTCCTATCAAAAAATAAAAAAATTAAATTTTTCAAATAATAACTGGTAATTAATTTTTGACCAATATTTGCTTTGTATATAACCACTTATATTTATGTATAAAATTTTTAACGTGTTTAAGTGAGTTTTGGGTGTCACTCAAATTCAGAAGTTTAGGACTTTTATTTATTTATTGGCGAATATTGTTTTTTGGGGGAATGCTTTTAAAATACTGGCAACAATTAGAGTTAAGAATCACCTAGAAGCTATTCTAGAAAAATAATTTTGGTGGTGATAAGAAAACAATGATGAAAACATTGCCAAATAAAAGCATTCCCCCAAAAAACAATATTTGCAGATAAATAAAATAGTCCTAAACTTCTGAATTTGAGTGACACCTAAAACTCACTTAAATACGTTAAAATGCTGTTGAAAAGAGTCTAGAATAGCTTCTAAGTATATTATTATTTCCTTATCTATTTTCAGAACTGCTTTGTTTCAATTAGTTTAACTGTATGTACTATATACAAAAAATGTATTTTTTAAAGCTATGTAAATATATGCAAAAAAAAAGTGAACATTTCTTTTTTTGTAAAATTTTACATATAAAAAATTACCCCTCCTTCTGTGTTATGAGATTTAGATTTATGAAATCGAGGTCGAATATCTTGTTCATTATCAGGAACTGTTTCATCTTCTTCAACATCCCCCTAAAATATAATTTAGAAATAGAATAACGTAGCAATATATATATTTTTTAATATTCTTTTAAAATAATCTCAAACGGTTTTATTGGAAGCTACTACAAAATAATTTACCTTACCTTTAGTAACATGATATCCATTCCAGAGTATTTCATACCATTCACTAATATTGGCACTAATCTAAGAAAAAAATGTTTAGACTTGTAAAGAAAAACATATTCATTTATTTAATCATTTATTCATTAAACTGAATGAAATATAGATATTTGGACCATATACCTAATAAAATACATTTTTATTTGACTTTAAATTACTTTGAATTTAAATTTCAAATTCCGAAATGTTCAAGTCTTTAACAGGTTGTAGGTTACAACCAGTCAATATAACAAACATAAAATAGAAATTGGATCATTGGCAATTGCTTGCTTTTAAATCTTTTTTATAAATAACAAAAATTATTTTTTAATATTTAAAAACTAATAATAAAATAAAATTTGGCAATTTAAATGTTACCCAGATAGTTGAACTTGTTAAAACCTTTATATAGATGTTACATTTAAATAGTTGATTTTTTAAAATCTTTTTTATCAAAACAAACTGGCAATGACACTATCTCCCTATTAAATTCAATAGGGAGATAGTAAACATTAGTTAAGTTAAACAACAGTTAATAATATATAAGATAAAAAACTTTCTAATTATCTAATGTTTACAGTGAGACTAGTGATTAGGAACATTTAACCAAAATTAATTTAAATTAAATACTACTTTTTAAACAATGTTCAGAAACAAATTTCCAATATTAAGCTGTTCTGAAAAACAATTTCAATTAACAAAAACCTTATTAAATTAAAATTTGATTTAAAATCACATACATTTTACATTTAAATAAAGTTTGATAATTTTTGAGGAACAATTATAATTTGTTTTAAAAATAAAAACAATAGATATGCTTCAAGATCAAAAATAATGCAGTAAACAAAAAAAAAATTAAGTTTTTATAATTGAATTATTGTGCTTTATTTTTATTAGTTAAAGCAAGACAGAAAAAATTTTTTAAAAAAAGAAAGAATAAAACAAATAAAAATTGAAAGAAAAAGTTTTTTGTTCTGATATACTGTAAAAACAGTTTCATATTTTCAAGTTTGATCATAGACAAATAAAATAACAACAACAATAACATGGTAACAAACCTTGGCAAAAATGGATGAAGTACTTGTTTACAGATCGGTTGTTCTGCAAGCGCCAGCCAAAATTCACATGCCTCAAGGGCTACAGAGTCTTCACTATCTTGTGTTCGTACAAGCATGTACTGAAAAGAACAACAACTGTAAAAAGTAACTTTTAAAATTTTTTTTTACTTGAAAGTTGTTATAAAACTATTTATGAAATTATTATGAGCACTTAAAGCAAAGCACTTGACATTTGAATTTGTAAAAAACTTTTATATAAACATGAGATTAGGCATGTGGTGTTTAAGGGAGCTTTTATAAAAGTTAATTACTTTATCCTTTGAATATTTGCTTACTTACTTAGACAAAACTTCTAATTTATTTTTTTAGAATTTCAGGTGATTTTACTAAGGATAAAACTACACATTATACATATACAAACATACATACATACATACATACATGTGTGTGTGTGTGTGTGTGTGTGTGTGTGTGTGTGTGTGTGTGTGTGTGTGTGTGTGTGTGTGTGTGTGTGTAAAATACTAATTCAAGTAAAAATTAGAGTCTAATAAAACAATAAATTAATTTTTATTCAGTACATTTTACTCCCAGTTAAACAACATCTTAAAATGTCTTTTTCTGCAAAAAAACAACAACAAACAAACAATTTTTAGAGAAATAAAAAAATTTTAAGTTTAGTTAAACTCTGGTTAATTTAAAATTAATTTTTTTTAAACATCTTCGCTTCCAACAAGGCTGCAAGCAACCACTAATTAGTGTTGGAAGTTACTGGATGAGTAAAGATGAAGATTGTAGAACAAGATAACGATTAACAGACGACTTCAAAAATTGCAAATTAAATGAATCAGGAAAGCAAGATGAAGGAAGCGAATAACAAAGAACTGATGTTTGAGGAAAAAAATGGAGGAAAAAGAGTTTTTGGAGCACTTATGAACAACCACAGAAAAAGGTTGAGACTTTGAATGATGAGTATAACACAAGAATGAATTTTAATAGATGGCAGAAGAGACGCTAGCTCTTTAGAGCAGTGCCCAATATAATATATGTAGAAAAGAGAAAGAGATGCAACATTATGACAATGTGATAATGGTTGAAGGTTGGCTGCAAGAGCAGATCCAACTATGTTTACAATGTGTTTTTGAACATTATCTAAAAGAGAAGGAGCATCATTAAAAAATCCGCCCCAGATATGGCAACAGTATTCCATACAAGGCCGGATTTATAGAGATAGAGAATAGAATCCAGAGTTAGAAAATGTCGAGCTCGATAAAGAGATGCAACATTAACAGATGCTAATTTTGCAACAGATTTGATATATGGCTTCCAAAAAAGATCAGAAGGAAGAATTAATCCTAAAAAATGGATAGATGACTCATCCAGTACATTACCTTTCCTGAATATAGGAAGGTCTAAATTATATTAATAACGATTGGCTGAAAAAAATTGAGTTTTATCTGAATTAAAGTTCACCAGCCACTGTGAGCCCCATGCTGTAGCAGAAGTGAGATCCTTTTCAAGCTAAAATGCCCCCTCCAAGCAATCAGAGAGAGTTGGCTTCTAATCATGACAAGAATAAATCTTATCATGCAAACACAAAAACTTCTACTAAATTAAATTAAAAGTAATAACAATCTTTAGTTATTTCTGGCAAAAAAAAAAAGTGTAGAAAAATTAGTAAAACAGAAAAACAGCGAACAACAATAAAAATAATTTGCAACATTAGCACAAATAATTACAAAACAGGGCTCGAATTAAGTGATCGTAAATTGCAATATCCGAAGATATCTGTGGTCTTTAAATTCTTAGTTTTTTTAAAAACCGTTTTAATGAAATGGTCAGTTTATCATATTGCAAAAATTAATGAAAAAGAAAAACAATAAATTTACTACTGCAAAAATAATCACAGTCAAAATTTACATATTATTAGTTATTGTTTTTTTAAACAATAATTAATATGTAATTTAAGGATTATAAATAAAAAAAAGTTGCAAGACAAAAATTATTATTACTAAAGTATCGAAAAACTTACTCAGTAATTTAAAAATCAACCAATAAAAAACTATGCTTAAGCTATTTGCGCATTGTATAAAACTTTGTATAAAAAAACAACCAATTAAAAAGTATGCTAAAGCTAGTTGCGCATTATATAAAACATTAAAATAGATTTTTATTTAGGGGAAATGTTTATGGAATTATTTATTTAAAAATTTAAATGTTTTAAATCAGAATTTAATTATTTAATAAGAAAAAAAATCATAAAGTATATTTTTTTAAAATAAGTTATTAAAGTTTCTTTTTTTGTTTTTGTCTTAAAGGGACTACCAAGTCCCGAGACATATTGTGTTCATATTAAAGAGAATGTTAAAAAAAAAACGTCTGAGCAAATTTCTTTGATTAAAACTAATTAATAAATGTATACCAAGAAAAACAAATCTTGTTGTTTTAGTCGAAGCTTGTCTTCTCTGATTTCTCTGGTATTTTGAGTATGTAAAACAAATGCGATTTTCCAGGCGCATTATACAGACTTGATAATTTATTCAAGCGCGTTTAGTTCATAGGAGTTTTAGTGCATGACGTCATAGTTTTTTTGTTTGTTTGTTTAAAACACAGATTGTTATTTTTACATACAATTTCCAAATCATATTCATTTTTATTATATTTTAAAGTACTAAAATGTGTTTGTAAAACAAAATTAAAAACAAAATAGTATTTTATTTGTGCAACTTTTTTTAAATAATCGTCTAGATAACGTGTATTTTGATTTCTTTTGTTATAAGTTTTTCTTTCAAAATATTAGATAAAATAATTTTTAACCTAAATAATAATGCATTTTTATTAACTTTGTAAATATTAAAAAAATAATTATTAACGCATTTTTTCTCTGATTTTGAAAAATGTATTTTTTGGTATTTTTGGTATTTTTTTATTTCATTATTTATATTTCCATTATAACATCCAATATATATTATGGCGAGGGCTTAAAAATTAAAAAATTAATATATATTAATTTTTATTTTACAGACATACATGGAAACATAATTAACTTTAATGTTCTTAAAACATCTTGCGGAAGAATAAGAAGAATATTCGGGAACACTAAAAACCTGCCAAATTTGCGAACAAACTAATTCTATTGGTTCAAAAAACACGCTGACTAAGCGAAATAAAGTTCTAGAGTATTCTGTTGAAATGTTTTAGAAATTGTATTATTTATGATTTCTTGCGTTTTGAGATATCTAGCGTAAATTTTTTAAAGAATATATTATCAAATAAACTAATACTTTAATATTATGGCTCATTCTAGGAGCCACATCTGTAAAGCCGTAAAACTTTTAAACTATTATCATTTGTTTACAAAAATAAATGTTTTATAATATATATTTTTTAAATTATCAAAATTTTGAAAGTTAATTTTAAATTATATATTTTATTAGTATGTTCTTAATTTTTATACCTTTTCTTAGTGCTTGGTTTAATTAATTGTTTGTTAGATTTGTAAAAAACTAACAAACAATTAATAAAATAAACTTTTAATAAAATAAGTAACTATAGTTAGCTATTTGAGTAAAATTTAATAGTAAAATTTTTAAAGAATTTCTAGAATGTTTCCAATGATGTCATGCTCTAAAACTCCTATGAATTAAACGTGCTTGAATAAATTATCAAGTCTGTATAATGCGCCTGGAAAATCGCGTTTATTTTACATACTCAAAATACCAGAGAAAATGGAGAAGACGAGCTTCGACTAAAACAACAAGATTTGTTTTTCTTGGTATACATTTATTAATTAGTTTTAATCAAAAAAAATTTGCTCAGCTGTTTTTTTTTAACATTCTCTTTAATATGAACACAACATGTCTCGGGACTTGGTAGTCCCTTTAAACTTAGTAACTATTAAAAAGTTTAAATTAGTTTTTATATACTAACTCCTCCGTCTTTTGATTTTATTTTCGTATCAGCTAAAGTGTTACAAACGTTAAATTTATAAGAAAATATTGAATGAAATTTAAATAAGATATAAAAGTATTTTTTATCTTATTTAACAATTTCTTTTATTTAAAATATTCGATCATTGTTAGTTAGTTAGTTAATTTAAGTTACACAAAGCCACAGCCTTGTTAAACTCATTATCAGCTGAGTATATGCATCTATACCCAACTCGTATTTCGGCCACTTTTGTGTGGCATTTACGGTAAATGATGAGTTGTAGCAACAAGAATGACTGAAAACTGTCTAGTAGTTGTTTAAATTTATCAAGCGATGTTGCCTCGATGACATTATCTGGCAAAGCATTCCAGTCATTGACTAAAAAACTTATGCCTGATTTCGCAGTTCCTGACAATCTCGCGATGAAATCTGATTCGATGTTGAGCTCTAGGTGCTATACTGCCAGGCATTACGTGCCAATCAATTAGGTTTAAATTGTTGAGAAGCTTATATTTTTGAATAAGATAAGCCTCTTTTCCGTCTGTCTTCAAGAGTAGTTAATTTCATGATTTTACATCGAGTTTTGTAGTCTTTATTTTTCAAAGCATGAGGAACTCTTGTCCAAATGTCAATGTCTCTTGATACAAACGTGTGTTTAAGAATTCCAAGCATATTATTTGCTTTGTTTGCAGCTATATTGCACTGTTGAGCATATTTAAGATTTTCGGAGATTAGAATTTCAAGATCTTTTTCAGAATTTGTGACTTATAAAACTTCTCTATTGGTTGTACCGTCATTTTTGATTTCATCCATAATGTAATCAAATTTTATTGTTCCAGAATTTACATGCATAACTTTACATTTTTTTACATTTAACTCCATTAGCCAGGTTTGCGTCAATTTAACAATCTCGTCTAGATCGGATTGTAAACCTGCTCGGTCTTCATCATTTTCAACAACTTTCATGAGCTTTGTGTCATCTGCATACATTTTGCAGATGGCTGATTTGACATGAAATGGCAGGTCGTTAACAAATATGACAAAGAGCATTGGTCCTAACACAGAACCTTGGGGAACCCCGCTAGTTACATCAATCCAGTCAGATATGGGCCTGTAATTGGCTGGATCTGTTCTGCTACCATTTTTATAAATAAGTGTAACATTAGCTCTGAGCAAAATAGTGGAACCTTTCCAGATTTTATTGAAAGTTGAAAAATCAAAGTTAGCGCAACTGCCATTGATGTGGCACATGCTTTTAAAACAAATGGACTAATGTTATCATCACCCATTGACTTATTTCCATCAAGCATATTTAGGTGTTTGAGAACAATGTTTTGGTCAATTGTTATATCCGAAATTAAAACATTTGTTTTGGATGCAAAAGGTTTTAGTGGCTGGGTCAGTGGTTCCTTTGTAAAAACTGATTGAAATTGGTTGTTGAGAATGTTGTTAAAGTCCTTTATTGTTGTGATTAGCGCTTGTTTTTTAATATTTATATCGTACTTTATCGTGCTTTATTTTTCTAGTTTTATCTGATGTTTTATAAAATAAATTAAAATATTAAAGTTTAAATTATAATCCTTAATAATAATAAAAATAATAGTGATAATATAGATTTACATTAAGATTTTATATCATAATCGACGTAAATATTTTTTTATTAAACAATATCTATTGAGTTTAGTGATCAAAACAGTTTTATGGTTTTTAAAAAGCTAAAATTTCAAAGACCGGAAGCATTTCCAGATATCGCAATTCGCGATCACTTAATTCGAGCCCTGCAAAACTTACGCAAACAAAAAGGCAGAACACAAAACTACAAAAAAAAAAAAAAAAAACAAAAAAAAAACTACAAAACGAAAACACATTTTTGGCAAAAAAAAAAAAAAAAAAAAAAAAAAAAAAAAAGGTGTAGAAAAGTTGGTAGCAACTTATTACAAATTATTGTTCGACTTTTATTTTTTTTTAGTGTTAATTTTGTTTTTTTTAAAGGGTCAATTTTGAGTATTTATTATTTTATAATTATAATGACTTGTTTTTTTTTTTGTTTTTTTTTCTTTTAATATTTTCGAAATCATTATTTTAACAATTGACAATAAACTCAGTTTTTGATTTTCTTTATTTCCTTTTTTTATTAACTCTTTAGCAAATATGTCTAAAATTAAAGACAAAAGAGTTTGAAAATATATAAAAACTAAGTTTTTAAATTTATTTTAAAACAAAACAAAAAAAACTCTTATAACTTATTTTAGAATATTTTTATTATAAATTAATTAATTTTTAAAGTGAAACAATTAAATCTAAAAAAAAAGAACTTCCCATAAACAAAAATTGATTTTAATTTTTCATAGAATGTGCAAAGTATAGTTTTAGTATAAATTTTTATTGGTTGATTTTGAAATTATTGCGAATGACGCATCAAGAAGTTTTAGGACACACCAGTCTATATGTCTATGTTTGGAAGCCCTTTTTTTAAAAAAAAAGAGAAAGAAATGGGAATATACCTTGGCTTACTATCTAGCAATTGCATAAATTGCATTAAATTATGTTTCTTTAAATAAAACTACAAATAATTAAGCAAATAGTCATTATTTTTTCTTTTTACCAAAAGTACCCTTTATTGCAGTTACACACAAGTGAAGCTATATAATTTATTGTAGTTACACAAAAGTGAAGCTATATAATTTATTTCCAAGTTAATAAATTTTTGTTGTTCTTCTGCTCTTACTTTTTAAATTAAATTTTTTGGATTGATTATTAATGTTATAATTGTGCTTTAAAAAACTTTTTTTTATTATTATTTTAAATTATTGTTATGAAAAGTATGAGGAAAAACTCAAACACATTTATTATTTTAAAACAAGTTAATGTTTTTATTAAAGGAATTATAAATATGCTAAGCATATAATACTTTAATATAATCTAAGTGTACGCTTTACATTTTAAATCAATTGTATTCATATTTTAATACATATTCCAATTTAATCCACATGAATTCAAATTAGGCATTCTTATTGACTTAAAATACATTTATAATTTGTTTTAAAAGCTGTTTGCTTTTCCTAAACAACCTAAATAATAATTTTGTATTACCATAACAAGTTTTATCATTACAAAACAGCAAGACAAAAAGTAATAAAGAATTGTTTTAATTTTAACTTTTTATGACTAACTAGTTAATGTAAAATTGGTTTAAATTGAGTTTTGGCAGAAATTTGTAAAAAAAAGTTTTGTTAATGGTTTAATAATTATTTTTTTGAAGGAGAAAAACATCCTCTTCAGAAAAAAAATTATTAAACCATTAACAAATGATGGGGGAAAATGCAATTTTTTTTTAAATTCCAAAAGTTTACATTGTTAGACTTCCACCCTTTTAACATTCACCAATTCATATATTAAAATTTTATGCATACATTTACTATTTATTAAAAACTGGTATATATTTATATATTCTAATATTTATACATTCTAACTCTGATTTACTTCCAACAAGATTGTGAGCAACCACTATTAAGTTATGAGTTACTTTAAAAAAGAGAATAAGTAAAAATGCTTGGAAATGGTTAACTGAAGACTTAAAAAGTTGTAAGTTGTAGATATATAAGTAAAACATATAGATGGCTAAGAGCTATACGTTTTTTGATGTTCATGGAAAAAACTGGATTAATAAAAGTTTTTATAGCATGAAGGGACAGATACAGTAAAATGATGCAACTTGTTGAGTAAGAAGCCAAGCAAGAATGAGTTTTGGTTTATCGTAATATAGATGGTAACTTGTTTTGAGCATTGACCATGATGGTATTTGTAGAAAAAAGAAAGAAACACAACAATAAACCTTAAATATTAGGAGAGTGGCTTAAGCTTGGCAGATGAAGCAGGTCTAATTTCAATTACAATGTGCTTTTAGACTTGGTCAGAGAGTAAGAGGGTTGTTATTCATCAATAAAGGAATGCCAATATTATTGCAATATTTTTTTCAAAAATGAGTTTTGTTATCTAACAAAAATTGTGGATTTCAAGTCCAGAATATAAATCCATGAGCCACTGCAAGCCTTATGTTGTTACAGTGGTAATGATGATGATAATGATGATGATGTTGATTTTTATGATGATGGTGGTAAAGATGATTATGATAATAATGTTGATCATAATGATGTTTATATGTGCATATATATACAAATTATAACATGAATTTTGAATAAAAAAAAAGTATACTTTAGAATGTTTAAATGTTTATGCAACCCCGGTCACAAACTTGGCCTTGGCTATATTTTACTAAATGCGGCCCCAGTCAAATATTAACCTCGGTCACTTACTACTGGATACGTCGCTGATTGCACAAACTTTTTTTCAATTTGTTTAAACAAACGATTAAAGTATGTAAGTTTTTATTGTTATTATTTCAGTAGTAAACTTATTATTTTGTTTCATTTGTTAATTTTTGCCATATGATCATTTCATCAAAACAGTATTCACAGTTTTTAACTGAGAATTTAATGACCAGAAATATTTTCAGATTTCACAATTCGCAATCACTTAATTTGAATCTTGTATTGAGTTTTATTGTTTCCACCTTTGCTTTTCTTTTTTGAAGTATGAATCAAAAATATAAAGTTACTAAAAAAGTAACATTTTTCAACCTGTAAGCAGATTTAGTCAGTTTACAAAAATTGTAAATTGAATTGTAATATTTGTGGAAGAAATTTTTAGTATACTTTTGAACAAACTTTTTTTTTTTAATTATTATAAAACCATATTACTATTATTTTTATTATTATTAAAAATCATGATTTAAACTTTAATATTTTAATTCATTTTACAAATCATCAGATAATACTAAAAAAAGCATATAGTACAATGCAATATTAAAAAACAACCACAAATCACAAGTCTAAAGGATTTAGCAGTGACCAAATATTTTAAATAAAAGCAATTGGGAAACAAGATTTTTATATCTAATTTAAATCTTTTATATCTAACTTAAATTTTTACACGATAATAATGTAAATAAATTAAAAATACAATTAAGAGAAAAAAATATTAATAATAAGTTAACTTGGATCTCAAAATTAGTAAAACCATATAAAAATTTCAAATATAATATATACTTTTATTAATATTACTGGAGATTTTATTGCATAAAAAAAAAAGAATATTTTTAGTTTTTTTAAATGATAAATGCCTGATGATTAAGGATCTCACACAATATTATAGAACATAAGAATTTCAAAAATGGTGTTTTATGAGTCACACTAACATACATTCACAACTACTAAAAATTATAATTAAAACAACTACTTGAATTTTAATAAACTTTAGATTATATTTAACAATAAATTGAATAATTTAAAAAATAATTTAATAATTTTTCGCCTTATTAAAATGGAACCAAATAAAAATAAAAAAATTATTTACCTCTACAAGATTGTTAATATTAGGAATGAGCTGCTCAACGCGAACCTCAAGCAACATTACAATTGCGCGACATACATTTTTCCTTACTTCTGAATCATCATCATTTGAAAGAGAGAACAAACCCTAAATAAATTTTTTTATTGTATAAAAACTATATTTAACTTGACTCAACAAAAACTTCTCAACAACTATTCTTTGAAAATTTTTTGTTATTTGAACTTAGCTTGATTTAGTAATTATTTTTTTTAATAACTGAAGCTATTCATTAAAAAAAAAAAAGGAAAAAAAAGAAAAAAAAAACAATTAAAATTTTAAATATTGATAAGAATATATACACAATTTATATTACAGTATGATTGCTAAAAATTTTATTACAGTATTTTATTATGATTGCTAAAAATTATTGTCTTTATTGACATAGATTTCTTGTAGGAAAAAGATATTTAAAAGAATGCTTTTGTTTTAAATTAAATAAACCTCCTTTGTTCTTTAAATGGCCACTATAGTTAAGGCTACTCAAGTTTAGTTTACTATCAACTGTAAAATAAATAAGTAAATATATGAATAAAAACATAAAACCAAAATTTTTACCTCCATGAACTGATCAATGCTGTTCATCAAAACTTGACTACGACAATTTATAAACTGATTGACACAGGCTAAAGCATGAGCTCTAAAATATTTATACTTAAAAATGATTTTTTTGCATTTAATTTGTTTTGCCTTATATTAGTGGGGGGGGGGGGGGGGTCCATAATCGTATTTTTTTAGAATTTTAACCATTTTATAGTTTAACCAATTTTTCTTAATAAGTTTTTTATGCTGATTCTGAAAATCATAATCATTTTTTTTCATTTTAATTATTTAGCCTTCTACTTCGATTTTAATAAAAGTGAATATATTGACAATAAAAGGCATTGTTAAAATAAAATGAAATTATTATTATCATTAAATATAAGAAAAGTAGAAAACCAGAAATCTTTTTCTGTTTAATTTATCAATAATATACCTTATCGTTTATAAGTAACAAAAAAAATTAAGTATTATATATGAAAATAATTCATACAGTTTGTTATTTACTATTGAAAATGGAAAATAACAATAAAAGTCATCATATGTAAAAGAGATTGCTGCGTGAACTTTCCTTATAGAACATCTAGGTTATATGCGTGTTCTTCGGTAGACATAAAATGGAGGTTTGTATTTTTATATCAACAATCATGTATTTAGACAAAATAGACTTCCACGACAATGACCTACATTGTATTCCTAAAATAAAGAACCTCATTTTTCGAACTTTTTTAAAACATATCTTTATCTACTTCAATATTGTCTAGTTCACAGCTAAATGGGCTGCCTTGTAACTTTAATCAAGCTAAAACAGAACTCATCTTGCACACCTGATGTAAAGTTTACTGCTCTTCCATTGTTATCCGTTGAAACTATGGAATATCATTGGTTTCAACGATATTCCATAGTTTCAACTTTTTGGACAAATAACTGGACAATAATTCTCCAAAATATTTTTAAACTGCACGAACCTTCATTTTTTATATGGTTTAAATAATTAATTATACATCTACTGTTGAAATTAAATGGGTTTTTTCCAAAGCTTTCCAACTGCAACAACTTAATTAGAAAGTTAACACTAATCATATTCGATCATCAACCAAACACATAATACTTTTCTCTTTTTTGAAGTCCTGAGGCTAACTTTAACCAAAATGCTCAAGCAAGAATGATACAATCATTCAACCTCTTTGAGGTATACTTATTAACTGCTTCTAGAATTTTTTTTAACTAGCTATTTACTGCGTTTTAGAGTAAAGCAGAAAATTTCAAAATTTGATCACCCAGTTTGTTTTTTATAAAGTCTTTTAGGTAGCGGTGTTGCTTTTTATTAACTGTTTATCTTTAGAATTGTTAAAACTTTAGAATTTAACTGAACTTCTACTAACTGGCACTTTAAAAGAAGATTTATTCTTGACTTCATTAAAGAAAAGTGAAAAAAAAAAAAATGAAATCTTGAACAGCCTTCTTGATAGCTTGAATAACGATTAAAAATTAAAAAAAAGAAAAGGAATTAAGATATTTTGAAGCAATCTGTCTCTTTGATTACTTAAAACGTTTTGTTTAGAAAGAGACTTCAGATAAAACTTTTTTTTTGAAGCAATCTGTCGTTTTACTTATTTAAAACGTTTTTTTTTAGAAAAAGACTTCAGATTAAACTTTTTTTCTTTCTAAAACGCTATGATTAAAAATCAAATTTATCCAATCAAAATTTGAATAGCTTAAATTTGAAAGAAAAGTTGCGTATCTTTATACGCAATAAAACTTTTGCAAAGACTTTTATTTTTTATATCTTTTAAATTTTTAAAATAGAAGTAGAAGGTCAACAATAAAAAATTAGCAAAAACTGAATTGTTTTTTAAACTTTTCTCAAAAAATTAAATAAGAATAACTGGTTAAACAAAAAATATAGAATTTTGTACCCCTCCCCCTACTTACATATTTAATGATTATTAAAATTTTTAATAAGTTTTAGAAACATTTTATTAAACTTAAATGTCATTAAAATGTAATTAATGATATCAAAATGATTAAAAAAAAAATTATTTAAAAAAAATACTTTTTTTTAAAAGAATATTAAAAATAAAATAAGAAAAATTAATATATATATATATATATATATATATATATATATATATATATATATATATATATATATATATATATATATATATATATATATATATATTCATTTGTCTTATGGAAAAAAATATATAAAATACACTTAGAAGTCAAATTAATAATTGTATTATTTATAGTTTTAGAAACAAATAGTTAATCTCAAATTTTTAAATGTTATTGTTTTTATCACTCACTCTTTCACAAAAAATACTTTGATTAAATAAAAAATTTAATGTGAATACTGCTTATTTAAATTATAAATATTTATTATCACTATTTCTTGCAAAAAGTGTACAGTAATACTTCTTGTGAAAATTATAAATTATAAAAATTGAATTTTTTTCTGTAAAATCTTTTTCTTTTTTTTTTTTTTAAAATTTTTTTCTGTAAAATTTTATAAAATTTTCTGTAAAATTCTGTAAAATAATTGGGTTATTTTTTGTATGTAAACGCTCACACACATGCACATAAATACAGAGGTCTACACTCGGACTTTTGGTTGGTTGCCAGAAGAGTGATTGAAAGTAACCAGTTTATTAATGTTGGTCGCCCACAGACATTTTGAGTTGCCCGACGCTATTTTATATTAAAAAACTTTGTATTCAACAGAGTTTTTGCATTTTTTTAGTTTTTAGAAGAATTTATCACATCTATTTATATACAATATATATCTATTTATATTATAAGAATAATGACTTAAATATTAAATACACTATATAATTTATAGGATATCTTGGTATTATTTAACTTATTGTTTAACACTACCTTATAGAATCATCTGATTACCATTCAATTGTAGTGTACATTTCAGTTTATTTCAAGTGTAACTTTGCAGATTTTCTTAAATAACATATTAGGAATTCTCTGCAAGTCACCTAATATTATACATTTATGCAGAAATTGAAGTCACAACATCATTATATGCATTGTTCTTTTGCTGATTGGGCTCTAGAGCAGTTGGCAACTAACTTGTTTTATTACCAAATAGTAATCAGCAATGAGGTTTATTTTTAGGTTAACAGCATTCTTAATAAGCAAAATTGACGCATATGGAGTTAAGTCCTCATTTTTAATTTGGGCCCAAATACGGTCAGTGCTGTTAAAAACGATCTATAATAGCCCCTGCGTTCAGAAAAATAAGGTCCAAAAATGGCACCAGTGTGGCATCAGAGACAGGAGCTTGCAATACAGTCAATAGAGATAGTTACCAAACAATAATCAACAATTTTTAGCTTGAAAATATGACATTGATCCGGACAAGATGTACTTTCTACAGGATGGTGCATTTTTGATGTTCAAAATTGGATATCAAGAATGTGCCTCCTCGAGAACGGCTATGGTGCCCAAAATCATATTTAAATTTTAATGTCATGTATTGAACTTTCAAATAAAAAAGTGTTTGACTACTTTTTTACTACTTTAAGTTCTATTGAGCACAAAAAAAACATCCTTTATTATTACATATTGAATTATTATTATTTAATATTATAACATAATGTAATAATATAAATTCAAATTCAATACAATAAATAGAAATACCTTAATTTAGGACTGTTATGTTTGAAAAAATACAAAAATTTAGGTATCATTATGTTTAATATTTGAACGTTTCCTTCACCATCCAGTTGACCAGAAAGATCTTCGCATATTTTTTGCAATGCACCAAATGCACCCTTGAAACAAAATCATAATTAAAAAGGTGAAATATTTTGCATATTTACCAAACCATACAAGCTTTTAGATTTTAGGAGCAGATTTTGTTTTTAACAATTTTAAGTATTAATCTTTATCAAGATTATACATAAGAAATTTTTCACATACTAACAAAATATATATTATTTGTCCATGTAAGAATATATTTTTATCAAATTAATTTTTTAAAATTTATATTATTTTATATCTTTGAAGTTTTTCAAGTGACAAAATTGCAATACTTAAAAAAAATTCTACAACGCACCATATACTTTAACTTTTATAAGTCAAACACACATGAAATAAATTATTAAGTCTATAGATTAATGCGTATTTAGTAAGACTCAGAGAATCCAAGTAAAATGAGAAAGTGAGCTTTGAATAAAATGACAATTTTAATATATTTATTAAGTATATGTATATGTAAAAAAAAATTAGCCCAAACATTTTTAAAAACATTTTTTAAATATTAATACAACTTGTCTCAGCAGTTGGGGTTCTCTTTAAGTTTTTTTTAATGAAGATAAGGAGAACCGTAATATTTACACAGTGAAACAACTACAGATGAAACTCACACGTACATGTAAATAAATAATATCTTTGTATATTTATTATACTTATATACTTGCACGAGAGGTCATACTAAAACAGTCTTTTATAGATATATTTTCTTGATATATCTTTAAAAAGTACTTAAATTAAAAATTTTTTTTTATTCTTTTTCGAAAAAAAAAAACTACATGGATTACACACCCCATTTTGCAACATAGGTAGCATAAAATATATTAGGACAGTGACTATATATTAGGTACAAGCTATCCCAGAAAGCATGTGCCTTGTTTGTCCATGTTTAAAAATTTTTAGACAACTTGACCACGTTTTTATATTGTAAGCGTATTAAGAATTTGCGGCAAAATAAAACTAACAGAAACAGAAAATAAAATAGCAATACTTAAAGAAAGTTAACAAATAATATACGAAATAGAAAATCTAAATAAAATAAAGTAAAAAAAGAAAATTAAAAAAAGAAAAATTTTGTCAAAAAAGTAATTAGCCAAAAATATTTTACTGTTTTTGTTTTCTTTTTTTTTTTAGGGTGTTTGTTATTTTCCACTACCAAAATTGATAAAAGTCGAGGAAAAAAGCAGATAAGAATATAACAATAATAAAAATATTTTTTTATAAACAAATTATTTGCAATTTATTCTGTCAGGAAAAATTAAGGAAATACTTTATTATTTGTGCTAGAAACATGGACAATTTTTAAAATTTGTTTTTCAAATGTTTTTGCAAAACTTTATTATTTTAATAATGCACGGAAAGCGAGAAAACTAGTAGCTATTTATTTGTAAAAAAAAAAATTTAAACCAAATTTATGTAAAAAAAAAAGAAAGTCATTAATACTAATATTCAAAAACAAAATAATTGGTAGTTTTCATTATACTATTGAAATAGTCTGCACCTTAGTAGGATTCTACAAATTGTGCATTTAAACCTGATACAAAACTTACTAATCAATAATATTAAAATCTATTTAAACCTGATTACAAAATTTATTGAACAATAATATATTTTATAAATATATAGCAATATATTTTCTTAATATTCCTATTATATAAGTATTGAGAAAAAACGTCAAATATAGTAAAAACATTTTTAAAAGCCAAAAGACGAATTTTTTTAATTAAAACTTGATATTTTGTTACAATTTTGTTTCCTTTTTTTAGGATTGTTTTTTGCTCAGTAGATAAGTTTAGCTTTTTACTGCGAATTATTGAAACACTTTAAAAGTTAAAAGATGCAAACTGACGCAGTCAGTGTGTCTACAAAAATTACTTTTATCATGGACAAACAAGGCCTGCGAGCACATACGCTACATGGGAAGGCTTGAGGTACCATCATTTTTTGGCATTGTTTCAAATTTGAGTAGATAGTTTATAGCAAAATAATAGTCAACTCAAAAAAAAAAAAAATCTAGTAAAGTTAACTTGTCTATCTATTTGAAAAATAAATTTAAAAAATTAACATTAATAAACCACTTTAAAGAGAGTATTTTTTTGTATAATTATAAAGAAAGGAGTCATTAAAAATGAGTAAATGCAATCAAACCTAAAAGTTGCCAGAGGAAGTTTTTTTTTCATTAGGTTAAAGTTTTCAAGCTAGAAGGATGAATTATTTTTTTTAAACTTAAAAACACTGTTTACTTGAAGTCAAATAAAATGCAATATTTTAAAGGGATCCCAAACTCCCAACACATGTTGTGTTCATATTAAAGATAATGTTAAAAAAAAAGGTTTGAACCAAATTTTTTTGATTAAAAATAAATAATGAATGCATATCGTGAAAAACAAATGTTGTTGTTTTTGCCAAAGCTAGTCTTCTCCATTTTTTTCAACTAATCGGAGTCTTCAAATTATGCGCCGCAATCTACAGACTTTTGCAATTCTTTTGAAGCGCGTTTAATTCATAAAAGTTTTAGTATTTGACGTCACGGTAGACTTTTAATAAATTAAACTCTAGAAATATTTTTATTTATTTTTAGTCGAAGTTTTTTTGATTATTTGTTTAGTTTTTTTTTTTTTTCTACTTTTAATATTTAAAAAGATATTAAAAACCTTAATTTATGCTGGTTCATTGCTATAAATTGTTATTGCGCCATATATTTAATGTTTATAAATTATGAATATTTATCATCTCAAAAATTGTTTTACATTAATTACCCGTATAAAATTAGTAACAGCTTTTTTATTTGGTTAGATGATATTTCGTTTCAATTTGCTTTGCATGAAGTTCGGAAAGTCAAACGAAAAAAATTAGTTTGAATAATCACGTAAATCAATATATATTTAAAACAAATTATTTTAATGACGGGGGTTCTAAAGTTTTTTATAACAAATGTAGGTAAAAAAATAAATAACTAAATAAAAAGTTCAGTATTAAACACCATTTCTTTTTTCTATTGCAACTGTAAATATTGAATTATTAACTTGAACTAAATTTACTTATTATTTAGAACGACTAAGCAATAAAAATAAAATGCCCCTAAAATTATGCGAGATTGTGTTGTTTATTTGATAATTGTTGTTGGCAATGTTGTTTATGTTGATTATTTTCATAAATATCAAAATAGTTCCAGATTAACCTGTTCGTTGCTTTGCTCATTGTTGATTTATTTCTAATTTAATTTTATCTCAAACTATAATTATATGTTAAAAAAGAAAAGTTTTTATTTCATCGGGCGCTCTTTTTATAAAAGAGTAGAACAAAAGAGAAAGAAAAGTTTCGCGCAATTAAACTTTAAATGAGTAAGAGTTGTAAAGAATATATATTTTTTTTGCTTCACTCATTTTTTTTTTAGATGAGAGAAATAAAAGTTTAATAGTAAATTTTCTTTGAATAAGTGAGAATTGGAAGAGAAAATTGCTTGAAAATTTGTATTTGTTAATTGTGTTTTTTAAAATTTTTAATTTTTCATGTTAAGAGACAAATGCCAATTACGACACAAATTTGGAAATGCCAAATATAATATGTTTTTTAATTCGCGTTATGACATTTTAACAATCTAAATTACCATCTATCTTGAATTATTGCCTTTAATTAATGTGTTAATTATTGCGTTATTTAATAATAATTTGTCCGTATTTTTGTTAAATATTAGTTGTATAAAACGGGCGAAAATATACAAACTTTATGTTTTTTATTTGATGGTTATAAAATATTGAACAGTAAACTTATAATCAAAATTTCTAATGCCGACTCGTGTTGCAATTAATTGTACTTTTAATGCAAAATCAGGATCTCACAAATCCTTTCACGAATTTTCATATCTGATACTACTGTCAACTGTATTGTTTAGTGTATTCTTGCACTTTTTTTTCATAATCTTAACAGGTTCTAATTGGTATAGAGTTGCTGACACTTTAAAAATTTCATTATCAAAAATCAAATGTAAAATAAAATGGTATTTCCTTTTTATCCGTATCCAATTCAGCAAATTTAGCAATTTGAATTAAATCAGCGTGATCAAAAAAATTTTATAATAAAAAAAGTTAACAATTCATTAAATATCTCTAATTAATACTGTCAGTTTATGAAAGTAATTGTTAATAAATACTTTTTTTCGACGGGAAAACAAAAAATTGTCATAGTGTAAAAATAACCAGAAGTTAGAAAATAGTTCCCTTTGTTTAAATAAAAATAATTAAGAATCAGAATATATAATACTGCGCTCTCTTGCACAAAAACAAGAGACCGTATATAAAACGTTCTATATAAAGTAAAATACTCGTATGAAAATCATGAGATTGGTAAGTAAAGCCTTAATATTTGTTTTAATTAAAATAATTAAAGAAATATAAGTAAGATATATAAATCTAAAAATTATTAAGATATTTGTAAAAAATAAGTTGCTCCTATAAAATAAAAATAATTTATTGTTTTTACTTTTTACAAAATTTTTTTTGTGATGTTTGGAAAAATAATACAAATAAATTTGTTTTGCTGTATGTTAAAAAAATACTACAGTAGAAAAACGCAGCTTAGTTTAATTACACTTTTCTTTTGTTAAAAGTCTACCGTGACGTCAAATACTAAAACTTTTATGAATTAAACGCGCTTCAAAGGAATTGCCAAAGTCTGTAGATTGCGACGCATAATTTAAAGACTCCGATTAGTTGAAAAAAATGGAGAAGACAAGCTTCGGCAAAAACAACAACACTTGTTTTTCACGGTATGCATTCATTATTCATTTTTAATCAAAAAAATTTGGTTCAAACCTTTTTTTTTAACATTATCTTTAATATGAACACAACATGTGTTGGGAGTTTGGGATCCCTTTAAACCATGTTTTTTTATAAATTTTTATTTACATTAGTTCATCTAATTATATGGCTTTTATGAAAAACAACCCTAAAAATTATAAAAATTAAAAAATAAATCATTTGTATACGAAAATACGCAAGAAAATTTTACACCTAAACTCACTTGAAAAATTCATTAATTATGAACTATATATTTAAAAACTATGATGAACTATATATTTAAAAAATATGATGAACTATATATTTAAAAACTATGATGAACTATATATTTAAAAACTATTTAAAAAAATAATCTAAAATCAACTTTCATGTATCATTAAAAATAAGTAAAAGTAACCAAAACTAACACTTCACGGAGGAAGTTTATTATTATTATTTTTTCCATAAGGTTAAAGTTTTCAAGCTAAAAAGATTTTTTTTTTAAACTTAAAAACTTAAAAACTTAAAGTTTTCAAGCTAAAAAAATATTTTTTTTTTAACTTAAAAACAAAAATATATCTATTTCTTTTTTTGTTAACTGTTTATCTAAACTTAAATAAGTTGAAACATTTGAAACCATGTTTCTTTTATAACTTTTTTATTTATATAAGTTCATCTAATAATATGACTTTAATGTAAAACAACCTTAAAAATTAAAAAAAAATTATTATGTTTCATTATATACGAAAATACGCATGAAAATGTTTTACACCAACACTCATGTTAAAAATTCATTAATTATAGTTCACCCTAGTTTATGTTCCATAATAAATTTATTTATAAAAAAAAATTTAAATTAAAATTAACTTTCAAATTTTGTCATAGTTTTATGGTTTAACTAAGGTACTCCCACTCCCACAAGCAATTATTTTTTCTGAAAAAAAAATAGTGATATATATACCTTAAATGACCACGCATATATTTTTTTTTGTTGATAACATGGCCACGATTTTTTTTGCATTTATTAAAAATGACGCATCTTAAAAACGCGCTGAAAAAACAAAATTAATTGATCATCTTTTTTTAATTATTATTAATAATTCATTATTATAGTTATTAATGAGAAAATAAAAACATTAAAATAACATATATGGGCAATTCCATTTTTAACTTACGTTACACGCGCAATAACTTTACCAAATATTAGCTTATTTTAACTTTTAAATTAAACTTTTAGCAATTTTGTATGAAAGCTGTTAGTCTAATAAATAAAATAAGCTTAAAAGTTTTGAGTTCAGCCAAAAGAGAACAAACTTATTACTAAAAATGCCACTTGCACTTATGTTACACGGAAAACAAGGTAAAAAAACAAATTCAACTTATAGGTCTCATTTCTGTGAATCAGTAAAGCAGTTTGTATTAGAAACTTTTACAAAATGCAGATAATTCTATACCAATTTAAAATTTTTATAAAAACTTTTTTAAAATAAACTTGTTTTTTTGATACTGTATTTTTTACTTAAATTACTTTATCTTAAATTATCACTTACATTATCGAGCGAAATTATCACTTAAATTATCACTTACATTATCGAACTTAAAATATCACTTACATTATCACTTACATTATCATGATTTTTTAAATCTATTATTAAGAGTTAGTTACGTAACAAAAGAATTGCATATGTATTGAACTCATTCATTAAAATCATTAAAAATAATTAAAATCATTAAAAATAATTAACAGAAATTTTTTAAAAACTGGCGGCACTCTTCCTGAGTGATTTTTCATGACATTCATGAAAGTTATCAAACCGGAAATAGTTTTTTTGCAAGAACAAGAGCAACTTCAGAAAAATATTTTAGTTTTACATCTTTAATTGAGTAATTGGTTTGTCGAAGTTTTCATTTACACTTCTTTCGTTTATGCGTATTGCTTTATTTTTATAAGATTGAATTTTTATAATGCTGCTAAGTTAAATTTTAAATATTTAAATCTTTTCTAAACATCTATATGTCAACCAAAATAATAGTACATAAACAAACAAAAAAAACAACAATAAAATAAATAATTTTAATACATATAAAAAAAGAAAGTCTTTTTTTAATTCTCCTTATATAAAAAGTTTCAGTTAAAACCTTGTCAAGCCAACAGGAAGAAATAATAATTACTTAATGACGTAATTCATTTAGTACAAAAAACTTAAAGAAAAATTGCCAGAATTTTATTAAATGCATGAAAACAAATAAATATATATATTTATATATTATTTTTATCTTTTTATTTTATCATTAATTACAAATATATATTTGTAATAATGATAAAATAAAAAGATAAAAATAATATATAATTATTTTTATCTTTTATATATATATATATATTATATATATATTTTATCTTTTATATATATATATATATATATATATATATATATATATATATATATATATATATATATATATATATATATATATATATATATATATATATATATATATATATATATATATATGTGCATTATTGTTAGGTTTTTATTTTCTATTAAATAATTATAATAAATTATTATTAATAAAAAAAACCCAATAAGATGACTAATTAGTTTGATTTTTTTCAGCGCGTTTTTAAAATGTGTCATTTTTAATAAATGCAAAAAAAATCGTAGCCATGTTATCAACAAAAATATATATATGCGTGGTCATTCAAGGCGTGCACGCGTCGCGTCTCCTGACGGCACGCGTCTCCTGAGAAGGCCTGATGTATGTACTTTTCATTTTCTATAAAAGTTTCTTACGGGTACATTAAAAAAAAAAAAATCATGCTTACGGGGACAAAAATTTAACCTACATTAAAATGTCCCCGATAATGCTAATGTCCCATATATATGTGCATTATTGTTAGGTTTTTATTTTCTATTAAATAATTATAATAAATTATTATTAATAAAAAAAACCCAATAAGATGACTAATTAGTTTGATTTTTTTCAGCGCGTTTTTAAAATGTGTCATTTTTAATAAATGCAAAAAAAATCGTAGCCATGTTATCAACAAAAATATATATATGCGTGGTCATTCAAGGCGTGCACGCGTCGCGTCTCCTGACCGCACGCGTCTCCTGAGAAGGCCTGATGTATGTACTTTTCATTTTCTATAAAAGTTTCTTACGGGTACATTAAAAAAAAAAAAATCATGCTTACGGGGACAAAAATTTAACCTACATTAAAATGTCCCCGATAATGCTAATGTCCTCGTAAGTGTTTGTTTTTTTGTAAAATCTGACCTCCTAAGTGCTCAACTATATATATATATATATATATATATATATATATATATATATATATATATATATATATATATATATATATATATATATATATATATATATATATATATATATATATATATATATATATATATATATATATATATATATTAAACAATATATTAAAATAAATAAAACCTTTCAATTAAATAATAATTCATAGACAATTCTCTCTTTTTATTTAAAATTAAATTCAATCAATTTATATAAATTTTTTTTTGCATAAAAAACTTAATTTTAATGTCATATTAATAGTTATCTAATTTGATTTATTTTATAGGTACTTTATCCATTCAGTAAATTAAACTAAATATAACTTCAAAATATTATTGACCTTAACACAGAGATTTAAAAGTAAATTAAATTCAAAAACGCTTTATGTTGAATAAAAATCACCATGCAAAAGAGCAAATGATTATACTTCTATTCAAAAGATAAATTTAGGGTGACAAACATTACATTTTAAAAAAGGCAAAAAAAAAATTGCTAAATTAGAAAAGAAAAAAAATAAATTAACAAACACACTCAAAAAAAAAAAAAAAAAAAAAAAAAAAAAAAAAAAAAAAAAGGGAAAATTTTTTTTTTTGAGACAACCCTAATCAAGGTGTGAAAAGCAATTACAATTTGCGATACGCTTAATTTAAGTCCTCAAGATTCAGGTCCGCAGTTGTATGTTGTCATAAAGCAAAGATGGCAACCTGAATTTCGCACGCTTTATATATACATATATCATAAGGCAAATTTTGGCCAAAACAGTACCAACATATTCTGTTAATTTTAATTTTTAAAACATCAAATTTAATACAGACACTTTTAGATGAATTAGAAAAAGAACACATGTCTTTTTCGCTTATAAGCATACCTAGGTTCAGAGTTTTTCCTAATCATATAAGCATATGTATGAAAATACCTTCAATATTTCAAAAAATTTATATGCTTATCAAAAAAAAAAAAAAAAAAAAAAAAAAAGAAAAGAAAGGAAAAATTATCTTTAATTAAAAAAAAAAAAAAAAAAAAAATTAACATAAGGTAAATTATCATAACATAGGTAAATTCTTTATGTTAAAAAATTAACATAAATGTTTTACCACAACAACATAGAAATAGGAACGGATAAATACCCCAAATCTCAGTTACTTTAGGATCAGCACTGTTGAATGCTGACCCTAATACCTAGGGCTCATACACCCTAATACCTAGGGCTCATATGTTGTACTAGCACAAGATAAAACTAATTTAAAATATTACCTCACAAACATTATAATCACCACTATCAAGTAATTGCAAAAGCATAGGTAATAACTCTGGCCAAGTACCAAACTCTTTCTGGGCAATAGTTGTTATTAAAATACCAATAGTAGCTCTAATAAGTGGAGATGGATCACCAATTGCAGATAAACATTCTGCTTTAACAAACTGACGGCATTCAATTGGAAACTTGTGGTAGTTTCCTTTAACATTGTTTTTGAGTATTAGCCCAGCAAGTGAACGAGTTGGTTCATCTAGAAAATTAAGATGATTGATGATTAAGATGAAAAAACCCATAAAATGGGCCATGGGAGCTAGATATGTTAAGTATACTACCTTTATTAAACTGTTAGACTGCTCTTGCAAATATTTTCTATATTAACAAAATAAGCAACATATCCATAAAATAAATAAAGTAATCTACAATAAATTATCAACAAAAAAAATTCATATGTGAAATTCTATGTTTGTATATATATTTATGAAAAAGGAATATAGCAAACATCAGTCTTTTAATTATTTAGGCATTCTGTTGACCATAATAATGTTATTAGTTTACGTTGAACCACCTAATGTAATACAAAAATTCTTATTTTAAAATCTTTTACTTAAGCTACTGTTAACACCATATTTAAATTATGACGTATATTTAACATAATTATGACATTTAGCAAACAGAATTCTACAGAAACAGGAGTCATAGCAAGTTAAAAAAATTCAATTTTAAATTTTGTTTTATTTGAAATTTGCCAGTTTTTAAAAAGTCTTTTTTTTGTTAAATAGTGTTGAAACATTTATCAAACAATACGATTAAGTGGTTAAATGGCAGCGTTTCTGAAGTGAATCTCTATGGTTTAAATCCTTGTACATTTTTTTTTTAATATTTGTTCAAATATAAAATAAATCATTGTATATAACATATATGGAGATATTATATACTATAACAGACGAATGGGAGAGAATTTTTTTTAAAAGCATCAAATTACTAAAAAAAAAAAAAAAAACACTAGGAGAAATTTGTTGCGCATGTATGATAGAAATACTTATGTTAATATTTGATAGGGGCCGGGTTTCATATAATGTAGCCAGGGCCGGGTTTGTGACCAGGGCTGCATAAGCATTTATACATCTTGAAGTATAATTTTTTTTATTCAAAATTCATGTTATATTTTGTATATATATGCATATATAAACATGATTATGATCAACATCTTAATCATCATCATTATCTCTTTCGGCAAATACTACACCATATAAATACTAAAGTTTATATATATATGAAACGATATTGTATGCCAGCATCTAAATAAATAGCAAACATACTATGTTTATATCCATAATATGCAGGCATAAAGCGAATTTCAGAAGGTTTTATTCCTTCTGGACTAAAAGTTTGAAAGCTTTTATTCCTACTCTTCAAGTCAAACCTTATTCTACTCCATATTTTTTTTGCCATCTTGAGCAGTTGCTTTACTAATCATTTATTTCATTTTTTTACATGAACATCTCTCTTTTTTTTTTTTTTTTTTAATTATCTTTGCTTCCAACAAGGTTGCAAGCAACCACTAGTTAGTGTTGGAAGTTACTGGAAGAGAAAAGATGAAGATTGTAGAGCAAGATAACGATTGACAGACGACTTAAAATATTGCAAATTATATGAATCAGGAAAGCAAGATGAAGGAAGCGAATTCCAAAGAAATGATGTTCGAGGAAAAAAACTAGACGAATAAGAGTTTTTGGAGCACTTAGGAACAGTCACAGAAAAAGGATGAGACTTAATTGAATGACGAGTAACACAAGAATGAATTTTAGTAGATGGCACAAGAGACGCTAGCTCTTTAGAGCAGTGCCCATTATAGTATTTGTAGAAAAGAGAAAGAGAAGCAACATTACGACGATGTGACAGAGGTTGAAGGTTGGCTGCAAGAGCAGGTCCAACTATGTTTACAATGCGTTTTTGCACCTTGTCTAAAAGAGAAAGGGCATCTTTAGAAGATCCGCCCCAGATATGGCAACAGTATTCCATACAAGGCCGGATTTGAGATTTATAGAGATAGAGAATAGAATCCAGAGTAAGAAAGTGACAAGCTCGATAAAGAGAAGCGACTTTAGCAGATGCTAATTTTGCAGCGGATTTGATATAAGGTTTCCAAGAAAGATCAGAAGTAATAGTTAATCCTAGAAGATGAAGGGTAGGAGACTCATCAAGTACATTACCGTTCATAAATACAGGAAGGTCTAAATTATTGCGATAACGATTGGCCGAAAAAAATTGAGTTTTATCTGAATTAAAGTTCACCAGCCACTGCGAGCCCCATGCTGTAGCAGAAGTGAGATCCTTTTCGAGCTCAGATGCCCCCTGCAAGCAATCAGAGGGAATTGGCTTCTTATCGTGACAAGAATAAATGGTAGTATCATCAGCGAACAATGCCACCTTAGATGTGAGAATATTTGGAAGATCGTTAATGTAAATTAAAAAGAGTATAGGGCCAAGGATTGAACCTTGGGGAACCCCTGAGGTTACAGAATAAGAAGAAGAGTGCTGTCCATCAAGGACAACTTTTATACTACGATTGGAAAGGAAAGAATCAATAATCTTAAAGATGTTTCCAGATACACCATAAGAAGAAAGCTTATGGAGAAGACCAGCATGCCAAACTTTATCAAACCCTTTAGAAATGTCAAGAGCAATGGCCTTAACCTCTCCACCTTTATCTAATGCGCGATAAAACCTATAGGTTATTATTGATAGCAAATCAGCCGTAGAGCGAGAAGATCGAAACCCATACTGATGATCAGAAAGTAGGTTATGAGATTCGAGATGAGAGATAAGTGTTTGTTGATTAAAGATTCAAAAACCTTGCTTATGATAGGAAGAAGACTAATGGGACGGTAGTTAGATGAGTCAGATCGCTCTCCAGAATTTTTAAAAATAGGGATAACAGATGCTGCTTTCCAGCAGGCTGGAAAACAAGACTCTGATAAGCACTTGTTGAATAGTTTTGAAAAGATAGACAACAGCTCAGGAGAACACTTCTGCAAGACTATAACAGGTATGTTGTCCAGGCCGCAAGCTGTAGAAGAGTCTAAGCGGGAAATCACTTAAGATTATAAGAACAAATGCCCTTTTAGAAGCTAATGTAAAAAAGTCCAGTCTGATGTTAAGGTCTTTTATTCTCAGTTAATTAAATCTTGTATCTATATCAGATGTTAGGTTCTAGAAACTTTTGGTTAGTCTTCAACAATGCCATTAACTAAAGTAAGTCTAACATTTAATCTTATTAATTATATAATATTTAATAATATTAAATCTTTAAAAAGTGCTTAATAAGTTGTTCTGATTTTTCAAAACTCTAGAAAACACTTTGACATCTCCAACAATCCTATGATTAGTCTTCACTCTGGTATTAGTTTCTTTATATAAAGGTTTTGAGATTATTAAATTATTTCTTACTAACTACAGTAATATAATTATTTTTGAAGGCCTACACTCTTTTTTATTTCAAATAACTTTAAGGGTACCACAAAGTATCTTGTGTTACCCTTAAATCTTTGCTCCTGTATAGTTTCTTATCTATAATATCAATCTTCATAAAAATTTAACATCTAAAGTGGCACTATTTGTTGACAACTCTTGTCATCAACAAATAGAGCTTTATACTCTTGTCTTGACAAAAAATCTTAACTTTTTAGAACAAGCAGCTGAATTTTAATCTGATCTTTCTTCTGTAACACCCTAAAGCTTGCTGTGGCTTATGGATTTAAATTCTGGACTTTGCATTTTTTGTTAGACAAAAAAACTCATTTGTTTACTGCAAAAAAATATTGCAATAATGTTCGTATTCCTACATTGATGAATAACAACATAAAGTCTAACAACAAAGTCTAAAAGCACATTGTAAATGTAATGTGGTCGTGGTGTAGTGGTAGAGCACTCGCGTCATAATCAAGAGGTACTGAGTTTGATTCCTACCACGTCCCTGGTAGTACCGTGTTCTACTTGTTTCTCTGCACAGCGGCCTTGGTTGTTAAGGTTTGTGTTTCGAAGTTATATAAGTAGCCTCCTTGTCTGTAGTGGCATTTTCATTCTTAGGGAGGTGAATTAACATAAAAATAATAATAATAATAATAAATTAGACCTGCTTTATCTGCCAAGCTTAAATCACTCTCATATTGTTGTAAGATTGCATTTCTTTCTTTTTTCTACTAATACAACCATGGTCAATGCTCAAACAAGCTATCTTCACTATTACAATAAACCAAAATTTATTCTTGCTTGTTTCTTATTAAACAAGTTGCATCCTTTTACTATGTCCCTTCATGCTATAAAAACGTTTATTAATCTAGTTTTTTTCCTTGCACATCATAAAAATTTTTGCAACTATTAGCCATCTTCATGTTTTTCTTTTATATACAACCTATAACTTTTTAAGTCTTCAGTTAACCATTTCCTAGTATTTTTACTTATTCTCTATTTTAAAGTAACTCATAACTTTATAGTGGTTGCTCACAATCTTGTTGGAAGTAAATTAGAGTTTCAGAATACATGCATATATAAATACATACCCGCATTTAATGAATAGTAAATGCAAACATAAAATTATAATATATAAAGTATTATAAATTTTTTCTAGCCTCGGCTATCAACCTCTGCTAAATCCTATATAGTCACGGCCGGGTTTGAAAAAAGTCTCATTTTTAGCCGGGACTCCGGTCACTTACAATAAATAATATGCTTAAGTAATTAGTCCTAATAAGCTAAACCTAATGGTTTGAAAGAAAATTATGGTCTGAAAGCCTGTTCTGCTACTCCAGAAAATGCTGCTGTAGAGGCAAAAAAAAAAATAATTGCCTTAAGCTAGAAATAACAAAACTTTATTTGAAAAATTAAAAGTTTTTTGCTATGTTAATTTTTTTGCGCTATATATACAGACAGATTAAAAATATTAAAATTGTATTGTGATAAAGGGTAGATTTGAACCCTAGCTAAAAGACACCAATAACAGCACATTAAACTACTGGGCTATCGAAGTTATGCATGCAATTGAAAAACAAACCATTTTATAAATCTCTTATACAGATTACAATTATAAAATAAATGCAGCTTTGTTGCATATACAACTTTTTTGCATAGCAATAGTTGCACTTGTAAAAAAAAAATGCATCAATTGCCTAAATAAAATTGTAAAGTTGAATATGCAAAAATCTAGAGTGTAGATGTGACTGAGGCTTTAGGTTTTTACATGTTTTCATTAATTAAAAGATTGTTTTAAAAAAAGTTTATAAATTAATTTAATTCAAAAAATTAATAAATTACACTATATTTTTAGGTGAAATAGTCAAAGTAATTAATAATAAATACATATGTACAAATAAAAAAATAAATAGTTGTACAAGTGTACAAATAATTTGATGAAATATACCTTTACTAAATATATAATTAAATATATAGTAAAGATAGTTTTTGATATTTATTTTGTATGAGACTTGTTTTTTGCAGACATACCGAAGGGGTACCGGAGATTTGTCATACTCCATATATACTTTAGCAAAGCTACAGTGACTTTTTCAAAGTGGTAACTTTTAAATATAATCAAAATAAATATTTATTACCATCAGTACATACATCGACTATCTTATAGCCTGCTGCTACAAGGGAGTGTTGCTACATTGATTATCTTATAGCCTGCTGCTACAAGGAAGTGCATGTAACAGCACTTAGATTTATCATGGAGCAGTAATCTTTATTCTTTTATTATTTTAAATAATATTCCTAATTTTTAAAAGTCTCCACTGACAAGAGCGCAACAAGCAAAAAAATAAAATTATTTTAGATCGCTTAACTGTAGCTTTACCTATACTTTATGTTTTATACAATTTTAAGTGCTTAATTAATAGTTTTATTTTACCTATTCCTCCATTTTTCAGCTTCGTGAGAACAAATATAAGATAATTGTTGAAATCTGGAAATTGGTTTAACGATTCGAGTTTCTAAGAAACGTAGTTAATGAATTTTCAGTTATAATTGAATAAAAAAATAAAAATAACTCACAAAATTTCTGCTAACTAAATATTTTTTTTGCAAATTTAACAAATTTGTAAAAAAGTAAATCTTGTACTAAACAAATAAAACTCATGAACTTCAATGTATGGATAACAATATATTATTTAGCATAAGATTTTATAAATCTTGTTATGTCAGTTATGTAGTCCATATAGCCTAACTACAGTTGAGCAACTATGACTAATTTGTGAAAAAGATACTTGTTGAACAGCTCTCTGCGTTTCCGTATTTGGACTCTGACTTTCTTTAAGTAGTTGAAGGATTTGCTTTAATCCTTGATGATCAGGTTGCCAGTTCAAGCATTCCATCTTCAGATTATATAATCAACGGAGCAGTTTAAGCGACAATCGAAATAAACTGCTAAGTAAGGCAAAGCATGGTTTGCTTCGCTTATCGGCTTTTAATAATATATTAATATAAAAACTATTTATTTGAAGGCTGTTTCCAATGGATTCATTTAAAAATTTACGTTTGCATTACGTTAACATTATGTCACAAAGCGGTAATTTACTTAAATTTTTGAGAGATTAGTGCAATTATATGTGAGTATGTTAACTTTTTGCAGTCTGAGTTTTGTATAACTTTGAGAATTGTTGCACACTGAATTTCAAAAAAATTTTAAAGTCTTTCTTTTCATTTGATAAGAAAGTTAAATCGATTGAAAAGAAAAAAAAAAAGTTGTTTCTTACTAAGTATAAAAATTTTTGGTCAAAAATTTAGAATGCATGTCTCATAACTATAAATATATTTTGTATTAATTACTAATTCAGTCGGTACTTTTTACCGCCCAACCCACCCACTCCATCTTTATTTTATTCCAAAAAGCGCTGAAGAGCTTCCTAATAATATATAACATTTTAGTAATTGATGTTCACGCCTCCTTCCTTACCAGTTTTAACTTGAAATACTCCACTGTGCGCCGGGCACAGTGGATTATTTTAAGTTAAAAGTCACACTTAATAAGTAATACTTATTAAATGTGCAACTCAAAATAGCAACTTAAATAGTGAAAGTAAAAGTACACATTTTAAAGAAATTAACGGGGGTAATTTTTTTAAAATCTGTACTTTTACTATCACGCGTAAAACATATTTTACTCATTTAAAAAAAAAACTTAAAAAGTACTAAAAACAAAAGAACTATTCATTTACAGCAACGTAATTAAAAAAGGGTAATTCTATATTCTATATTCTATATATATATATACATATATATATATATATATATATATATATATATATATATATATATATATATATATATATATATATATATATATATATATATATATATATATATATATATATATATATATATATATATATATATATATATATATATATATTCTGATAAAAAAAAAGATAATCATAATTTTAAAAATGTCAAATTTACTTTAAGTTGGCAGAACCCCTTTAAAAAAAAGATGTTTAAATTATTGCTATTAAACATCAATTGCAATCAAATTTTATTTGATATCAAAAAAAAAAAAAAAATTTAATTAAAAACTTAAAAAAAAAAAGTAACTAAGGACTAAATTATACATTTAAGCAGCCATTTTAAGAAATTTTCAAACGTGATTATACAAGTTTCACAAATGCTATTGACTTTAAATTTTCAGGATATGTTAGTGGCATAATTACTAGGGTTTCTACCACTTTTGTATAAAAATGATAGATACTGTAAAAGAAAATCAATTTTTTTTTTTAAATGTTAAAATGAAGTACCCAAAAAAAATAAAAATTATACTTAAAATGAAAATTAAACTTTTATTGATGTGCAAACCTAACATTTTAAGGAACATTTCCTCAAAATTTTAAATCAAAAACTTTATTAAAAGTTGAGAAAACGCCTTTTATGTGTCGCAAAGTATTAAAAAAGTAAAACACAAGAAAAATGCTCATAAAGGTTTTGTAATTAAAAAATAATAAATTTGTTATCATTCTAAAAAGCACCAGCAGAATATGATGTTCCTTCTTCATTTTCTTTTTCAAATCAAATTTTTTTTTATGGTCCCTATGTCCATAAAAAACTGGTTTTTATCTGCAGATTTTGAAAAGCTTCATATATCTTACTAGCATCATTACATCATTATACTCTAAAACAGTAGATGATACAGCTATTTCAAGAATATTTTGACTTCTATAATCATCTTTAGGACATTTTACCAAATGAAATTGTAAATTGCTTCATTATTATTTTGTGTCTGTTTATGATAAGTCTCTAATTAAGTCTTGAAAAATGGGTTTTAAAATTTCATTTATTGCTAATGGAAAATTTAATTTAGCTTTGTGATTTGATTTACCTGTTAGTTTATTTGACAGCCACAAGCACCAGCTATTTATGTTTCGAGGACAAGATTTTTGTCGTTCTGTTTCATTAAAAGGATCCCAAACCTCCGAGACATGTTGTGTTCATATTAAAGAGAATGATAAAAAAAAATGTTTAAGCTAAATGTTTTAGTCGAAGCTCGCCTTCTCCGTTTTATTGCAGGCCTAAATATCAGCGTAATATACGCTGCAATCTACAGACTTGATAATTTATTCAAGTGTGTTTTATTCCTAAGAGTTTCAGTAAATGGCGTCATTGATTTTTTTTAAGAGATAAGAGAGCGTAAGTAGTTGGGGACGTCCATATAGTACGTACGCCAAAAATTCTGGAATTTGATACCCTCTCCCTCTGTTGCCATGCGTACTTTTAAGTCCCCGCCCCCTTAAAAAGTACGTACTTTTTTCATATATTCTCCCCCCCCCCCCCCCCCAATTGAAAAATAAAAAAAGTGGAGGAGATACCCTAGATACTTTAAAAGTATCTAGGGTACCTCCTCTACCTTTTTTATTTCAATAAATTTTGTATATTAAAAAAAGAATAGGCGGGGGGTGAAAAACGTATAAAGTATTTATACGACCCCAAAGGTCGTATAAATACTTTATACGTTTTTCACCCCCCCCCCCCGCCTATTCTTTGTTAGCGGCAAAAGATCCCAATTTAAAAAACATCATCAAGTATATACAAATATAAACTTAAATAAAATTAAACCTTTCGATATCAAAGGGTACGTCTGGCCGAGTGAATAATGTTATGGGCAACAAAACAGTGATAACGGAGATCCCGAGTTTGATTCCCAATGAAGTCTTATAGGACCTCTTTTTTGATTCAACTTTTTTTTTTTGATTTTTTTGATTTTTTTTGATTTTTTTGATTTTTTTTGATTTTTTTGATTTTTGATTTTTTGATTTGATTTTTGATTTTGATTTTTGATTTTTGATTTTTTTGGTTTTTTTGATTTTTTTGGTTTTTTGAACTTTTTGATTCAACAATTTTTTGAGTCAACAAAAAACAGGTTTTAGCAGTGCAATGGCTAATAGGTCAGAGACCAACCCTCCCCTCAAAAAAAAAAAGGTGTCATAAGGGTCTCGAAATCTTCCAAATTTATAAAAAATATATATAAAATAGCTATTTTATATATATGTTTTAGCCATTGCACTGCTAAAACAGGTTTTAGCAGTGCAATGGCTAAAAATCTTCCAAATTTATAAAAAATATATATAAAATAGCTATTTTATATATATTTTTTATAAATTTGGAAGATTTTGAGACCCTAATGACACCTTTTTTTTTTTGAGGGGAGGGTTGGTCTCTGACCTATTAGCCATTGCACTGCTAAAACCTTTTTTTGTTGACTCAAAAAATAGGCAACCTATTTTTTGCACATGCATACACACATGTTACCCCTTATATACTGGCCCTGAGTGTACTCAGGTGTCCATGCCACCCCTTATATAGTGGTATATAAGGGAAGGTACAGTATACAAGGGAATACAGTATATAAGGGAAACATACAGTATACAGTATATAAAAATAAAATACAGTATACAGTATATAAGGAAAGGCATCGGCGCCTGCAGGATTTTTTGATGTTCCAGATAGGACACTTTCACACATTTCACAAACAAACTTAAGTATGTTTATACCTACCAAATGAGGAGACCTTGTAAAAAATTGGGATGGCGCGACTTGTCAACAAATAACCCTGAAACGCTTGCCCCCTTGTTCAAACGTGAGGGCACTTATGTAGTAAATTTTTTAACTTAACAATCTAAAACTACATTCAAATTTATCGACAGAATTTAAATTTCGTTGAAAAATTTTGTAACTTACAAAAGTTATGTCGTTGCAAAATGTACAGCCCCTCGTTTATTTTATTTTTTTTGAAGGGAGGGGGTCGGAATAATTTTACTACATTAGTGTCCTCACATTTGGGCAGGGGAGGGGATGCAAGCATTTGAGGGCTTTTTTGTTCTCAGACTACCGCCATAACTTTTTGAGAGGCCTCTTCAAATGACATCGGTATAAACATACTTAAGTTTGGAGTTTGCACAATGCACAGTGGGTCAGTGCAAAATTTTTTTTTTTTTTTTTTTTTTAAATGCACAGTGCAAAAATTATTTTTTTTTAAAATGTTACTAAATTAGCTTTAAATAACATATTTGGAGCTTCTAAATAAATTTTTGATTAAAAGAAAATTTTTAAATTGTATTTTAAGTTTCACAGTATAATTTCTCAGCGTTCAAAAATTATGACCATTTGCAACCCCCTCAAAAAGAGGGGGAGGGGTTAAACTTTATATGGTCATATTTTTTGAACGCTAAAATATTTTACTATGAAATTTAAAATTTATCAATGAATGTTGTTGAAAATAGTTCAAAAAATATTTCATCAATTCTCACGTTTGGGGCAGGGAGGGTCTTCGAGGGGGCTATAATTTTGGGGTTTTTTTTTTTGCAAAGCATCCTTATTTGACATAAGTATAAACATATAAATGTTTAGAGTTTGCTCCATGTCTGTAAGTTAGATATGTCGAAGACCAAACAATGCCGGCGCTACCTCAGCTGTCATCTAAAAGTTATTTTTTAGGTACTTTGTTGAGGCTCAAATCAGTTTTAAAATACCATATATATGTACTTAATGAAAATTTAAAGTATTTTCAGACTGGAGAGTTTTGGAGGTTTTATTTAATTAACTAAAGATAGTAAAAATTTGAACTCAAAAAACATACAAAAATACATCAACTTCAAAGTTAAATAAAATTTCTTACTTATAAGCAAAAAACTTGTAGCAAAGTTCTGTTGTTTAAAAAAAGATAAATCTATCAATATATATATAAAAAATAGCGCATATATTTTAATTCATAAAACAATTTACAATTTATTTGTAGCAATTTATATTTTTAATTAACTTTTGTTTTAAAATTTACAAATCGGAAAACAATTTTCATCTTCAACAGATCGTATAAACTTTAATTTAAAAGTTAATGACAAAACAAATATCATTTTATTAAAGCTTTATAAGTATGGAAACCAACTATTACCATTAAACCTATATTAAACACAATTTTTTATTTAATTTTGGTACACTTTGAACCACTGTGCAATGTGTG